TTCACGATCTACCTCTATACAATATATATATATATATCTGTACACACTTATCTTCACGATCTACCTCTATACAATATATATATATCTGTACACACTTATCTTCACGATATATATATATATATATATATCTGTACACACTTATCTTCACGATCTACATCTATACAATATATATATATATCTGTACACACTTATCTTCACGATCTACCTCTATACAATATATATATATATGTACACACTTATCTTCACGATCTACCTCTATACAATATATATATATATATATATCTGTACACACTTATCTTCACGGTCTACCTCTATACAATATATATATATCTGTACACACTTATCTTCACGATCTACCTCTATATATATATATATATACACACTATATATATATATATATATATCACACACTTATCTTCACGATCTACCTCTATACAATATATATATATCTGTACACACTTATCTTCACGATCTACCTCTATACAATATATATATATCTGTACACACTTATCTTCACGATCTACCTCTATACAATATATATATATATATATCTGTACACACTTATCTTCACGATCTACCTACTATATATATATATATATATGTACAATATATATATATATATATGTACACACTTATCTTCACGATCTACCTCTATACAATATATATATATATATATATATATCTGTACACACTTATCTTCACGATCTACCTCTATATATATATATATATATCTATATATCTATACACACTATATCTATCACACACTTATCTTCACGATCTACCTCTATACAATATATATATATATATATACACACTTATCTGTACACACTTATCTACTCTATACAATATATATATATATATATATGTACACACTTATCTTCACGATCTAAATCTATACAAAATATATATATATATATATCTGTACACACTTATCTTCACGATCTACCTCTATACAATATATATATATATATATCTGTACACACTTATCTTCACGATCTACCTATATATATATATATGTACACACTTATATATATATATATATATATATATCTGTACACACTTATCTTCACGATCTACCTCAATATATATATATATATGTACACACTTATCTTCACGATATATATATATATATATGTACACACTTATCTTCACGATCTACCTCTATACAATATATATATATATATATGTACACACTATCTTCACGATATATATATATATATATGTACACACTTATCTTCACGATCTACCTCTATACAATATATATATATCTGTACACACTTATCTTCACGGTCTACCTCTATACAATATATATATATATATATATGTACACACTTATCTTCACGATCTACATCTATACAATATATATATATATCTGTACACACTTATCTTCACGATCTACCTCTATACAATATATATATCTGTACACACTTATCTTCACGATCTACCTCTATACAATATATATATATATCTGTACACACTTATCTTCACGGTCTACCTCTATACAATATATATATATATATATCCGTACAAACTTATCTTCACGATCTACCTCTATACAATATATATATGTATCTGTACACACTTATCTTCACGGTCTACCTCTATACAATATATATATATCTGTACACACTTATCTTCACGGTCTACCTCTATACAATATATATATATCTGTACACACTTATCTTCACGATCTACCTCTATACAATATATATATGTATCTGTACACACTTATCTTCACGATCTACCTCTATACAATATATATATACCTACGCACTTAATAATAATATGTGCTTATATTTGAGTTCGTCTTTTGCTTTTTCTGTTGTTTGTGAATTTTATTTTTTATTGTTTTTTTTCTAAATCCCATTTTTATACTTGCTTCTTCAAATTGCTTTCATGACTAGGTTTTTCAACTTACGCTACATCAGTATATATTTTGGTATTTTTAACCATTGATGACATTAGCATGTATGTATACATTACGCTTTATAAATAGTGTTTTAATTACATTTTTAGAAACAGCATGTATTGATAATTTTCATATCTTGTTGGAAATACAAGCTTTTCGATCTTAAGTTTACCATTATCATCCATTCGACTTAAACATACATTTTTTTTTTTGTATCGCTATTTCTTCAGAAGTGCTTGAAAGGTATTTCCCAGCATTCTTTAACCTATCCTGTTTTGAAGGGGAAAGGCTGTCAAATCCGTATTTAGGAATGGAATATCAGTGTATTTTTTGGCCTGTCAACACCATTGAATGTACACACACAAAACACGCATCCGGAAAATAATTTCAATAGTCGACTTTTATATTAGAATGCAAGTAAAAACGGAAGTTTACGAAAATATGTGGCGGGGAATATCAAACTTGTTAGAGCGATATTGGGTGAAACATGGGTAATTATTTGACGTCTTCACTGGGAGGGAACAGAGGGGTAAAACGGAAAGTCGATGAGACGGACAACCTGACACAGACAACAGCAGAAGGCTTGCCAGGAGCAGCAACCAGAGACCCTTTGCATACACCAAAACGGTACATTGTCAAGAAAGATTGTTGTGGGTTGTATTTCTAATGGTTGAAACTTGTTTTTGTTTGTTTGCACAATTCTTCCAAAGAATTAAGATACGCTCACACTTTAACTTTAAGACGCTGCGCAGTCTTCCAGTAACTAGCTATCAGCTAGTAACTATCACTGTCTTATGCTAGTTGGGCAAAATGCTAATGCAAGGGAGGGAACTCTTAGATATAGATGTCGAAATTAGTCGACAAACAGGCATATAGAATTATATTACAACAACCAAGCGTAGCAAACAGAGGAAACCTGAGAATATAAAAAACATGAAAGATTACCAACGTGTCCATTGTGTTAACATAATCATCAATTTAAATATTTATATCTAAAACCGATTTGTAGGGGTGATATTATTATGTGAATGGATTCTAGATACCAAATTAATCTTAAATTCATCATCTGCTCTAGAGTTTAATAAACGCAACTCGTGAGTGATATTGGGCTGTACCTTGAGGGATTTGTCATATCTTTACTGGGTAACCCTATTTTAGGATAGGATTTACAGTTGCCTTATTCCATGACTTTAGGATGTTACCCAATCTAAAAAATATAAAAAATATCAAGACATTTTTCAAATGATGACTCTAGTAGATGTTTTAGGAACTGATAGTGAATATCATCAGGTCTGTTGCAGAGTCATGTGATTTTTTTAGTGATTCATGAAGTTCTAACAGTCAGAAAGATTGATTGTAAGTTTCATTGTTTTGGAAGAGAATTTCAGTATAGTTTTTTCTCAAGTGGTCTTAAATTTTTCATTTTTTTGGAATGATTATTTGCAGAAGAGTTTTTGGAAAAAGCAGGTCCTAAAGCATTTACAACATCGAAATTTGATATTGCAAATGCTAGTGTAAGGCTTTTCTGAACAAGGATCTGCACGATATAGGTATCCGAGGTTATCTACCGAGATTTATGTCAAATTTTGTTTATCAGATAGAGTATTTCAAGTCTTACATATGTACAAGTAATTAATATATTTGTCAAACATGCACTCTGAATGTCAATCTGCTTATAATATGATAACATCGATTTGACTCCATCAATAGGCCATCAAAATATATTGACTTTGCAGTACACAATGCAGCTATAATCTAATCCTTGAAATCCTGACTTTTCACTGGTGTTTTGATCCAAAATATAAAACATTTTCAAAACAAACCAAAGACCATTCCACAATTTGGTATTCAGATTTCCTCTCTTTTACAAAAAGCTAATTAATATTTACCAAATTCAATCATTATGAATGATAGAAGTTCCACCCTGGCTCTTGAATTTACCTGAAGTTGGATTTTGACTTCATGAAATGGTTATATCAGACATTGACAGTTACACCATCTGTTCATCCTTCTTGAAATTGCAGTCCAAATCATTTTTTTTTACATTGAGATACTAATAGTTCTAAAGACATTGATAAGTTTGCTGTAGCCATGGTAAAACAAAATGAAGCCTATGGATGCTGGCTACCCAACAACACTTCAGTATTCTCAGCAAAAGCACAAGCTATCTACCTTGCCCTTGAACATATTCAAACACACAATGTAATGAGAGCTGTTACCTATTCAGACTCTCTGTACTGCAAAGTCTTAGCAACAGAAATATCAAGTTTTCAGTTGTAACACATTAATACTATTTCATGAACTTACCTCAGATTTTCATATTGTTTTTTGCTAGGTACCTGAGCACATGGGAATACCAGGCAGATTGTGCTGCAAAGGCAGCTTTATCGCTACTAGCTTCAGATTTTAAACTTCATTTTAATGATTTTGAACCATTTGTCAAACATTTAGCTCAGTGGCAGGAGGAATGGAATCAATATAATAATAACAAATTGCACTCTGTAAAACCTATCATCATCGGTGAATGGTATCCATGCTATAGAGACAACCACCAAGACAAAGGCGTCCTTGCCCGTCATCGGATGGGCAATACTTATCTTACACATTCGTATATGCTGACAGGTGAAGATAATCCTCGGTTCATAGGATGTGATGAACCATTTACAGTTAAACTTTTTTATTGGACTACTTGACCTGTCTACTCGAAAAAAATTTTATTGTAATGTTTCAAGTGTAAAGACCCTTCTTGAAACTGTTCAGACTGACAAATTTCTAGGTTATCTGAAAGATGTCCGTCTGTATTATAGGATATGATTTACCATTTTGATCTTTTGTAATATATAACTATATGAGATTTTTAACATTTGTCTTGTACCTTTTTGTTCCTTTGGTGTTATGTTATTTTGGATCACTGTGTCATTCACCGGCTGATGACCCTAATGACCTTTAATGTGTTGATGGGCTGTTAAGAATGTAAGAATAAGTTAGATAAGATACTTTGTTATATTCTGTTACCTTAATTTTCAATGTCGTTTGTCTGGATGGGAGGGGATCTTTAAAATTCTAAACTCTTTGAAATATGAATGGATTTTGTCTAAATGCTTCTGAAGCAAACTTCGGTCGTGAAATATGTTTTAACAGTTTTATTGATAAATCATCAATGATATCTTATTTCACTGGCAAAAGTGTAACAAACACAGGGAAAACATTATTATTTAACATTTGAAATTGCTTACCTTGTCATCAAATGAAAACTTCTAATATAAAGATATGATAAATGACTTTACATGTTTGTATGTCTGATCAATATGTTGACTTTGATATTTTCAGGAAAAGAATCAAATCTACATCAAACTATATCTATCAGACCCTTTTCCTAGACGGTGAAAACAGTGATGTTACCATCAGCGCTCTAGGAAGAGAATGGAAGCTCCACAAACTTTACTTGTCTCAGGTAGGATCTACACCAGTGCTATATATCGGATAACACTTTTGATATCATCCACACAGTATTTTATGTCTCGTAATTTTTTTTCTACTATATATGTATGATTTATGTCTGCTAACTCACTTGATATACAGTAGTTCAAGCAACAATTTGATAGGAATTCAATAATCAACATGCAGAAACACTCTTTCATGTTTATAGAACAGAAAAGGGGTAGATTTGCATTTACATGAAATTTGTCATCAATAGGTGAGCAATGTTGTTCTCAAACAGCTCTTGTTTTACCTCCCCTCGTCAAAAGGACCATTGAAAGGGAAAATACAGAAAAAGGTTTAAGATTGGTTTGTTTCCATACACATCAAAGGAGTTTGACCAAGTCTGTTCTGGAATAGCATTATGTGAGGTCATGATGAATATTTTTTACCATATTTTCTGGGTATAGGCTTAAGCCAATGCTGCATACTAACATTTCTCTGGAAACTTTTTTCATTTAATATCTCTGAGTTTCTCCAGAATTAAGTCAACATTGGTGCAGGTGTTTGGGATGTTTGGTTAAATAGTTTGTTTCCTAGTATATGGATACCACTGGTATGCAGGGTGTCCACTCTAAAAATAGTAACTACAAGAGGTATGGGGCATTAATGAATCTCTAGACATCCAGGATGATAAAAATCCACCAACTGAGGTTATTCTAGGTTTTATGGTTTTAATACTTACCAATACTTGCTTTATAATTAATGATGAGTACTTCCTTCAAGGAACAGTCACGGGCAGGAAGAGGGCACCTAATTATGCAGTTATTATTATAGATTATTGGAAGAGAATTTTGCTATCTACCTCTCTAAAACAGCCCCAAATATGGTTAAGGTATATAGACATGCATTTTTCATTTGGACCCACAGCAGTGATGACCTTTCCTCCTTTTTGGATTCGATGAAGTCCTTCCTTTCATTACACAATCAAGCCTACCAGAGAGATTAGTTTTGGTTGATTTTTAAGATTCAACTGTCTTTATAAAACTGGATCATTCACTAAGCATGAAGTAATTTAACAGGCCCACTAATGCCTATATATATCAACATTACCATAGTAACCATACTAAATATCAGAAGGACAACATCCAGTACAAACAAGCATATTAACAGTTTTGAGGAATTACAGAAAAGATTTACAAACAGACCATATCAGAAATAGGCATCACACTCAGTAGATTCCAGGGAATTAGGACACATTTCTAACGGAGTAGATTGTCACCATGAGTGAGCGAACAGATTAAGTATACATTAATTTGATTAACCTATAATTTTTGTAGAGCAAGTAATTGATTTTGACATTTATGATATGTGATTATGATGTAACAAATGGAGAGTTCCAAACACGTTATGATGGGATCACCTTTTTTGTACTTAAGTGCTTCTAATTGCATGTTACATTGCCCTGATGTCCCCTGCATGATGAAATCATCAACAGTAATTGCTTAATAACCACTTTTGAACCCATCTCTTTTTTTTTCATAAAAACTCCCTACTTCTGGTGAAAAACTTAATCACTTTCATATTTGCTTAGAAGTATATCATTTCTTAAATGTAACATCAAGAATAATGTAATTTGTGACAAAATTATTTTTGTTTTTGAAGATATTTTGTCAGTTGATTGGGGTATGCTTTCAGGATTGCATGGACTTTTTCATTTCAAAATATTTTCTTAAATCAAAAAGATTTAATAGGAATTGGGCAACAGGCAATGTCTCTACAATCCCAAACATTACAAACAAGCACAGACTTCTGTAAATGGTATAATGTTTTTCTCCACAGTCCCCTTACTTTTCCTGTATGTTTAGCGGTTCCTGGAAAGAGTCATCACTGTCAGAGATTTCAATTGATGTGACGGATGAAAATATTAATGAGGAAGGTGAGTATAAGTGAGATGAATGATATCAGAAAATACTTGTACATGTAAGATAAAATAAAATTGTAACCTGGTGTAGGACATTTGTAATACACAGTTGATGTAAGTAAGTGACATACAGATGTTGATTACTGGAAGATATGGCATATTAGTGTTAGAAATACATATTATAATTACTCTTCCTGTGATATATATCAATTTTCCATACCTTTGCCAGTAACAAGAAAATGTTTGCTTTCTTTCAGCTCTGAAGATAACATTCGGTTCCTTATATAAAGACTATGTTTTTATTAAACCTGTACAAGTTGTGAACGTGTTGGCTGCTGCTATGCTGTTACAGTTGGTATGAATTTTAACTTTTGAGGGTTCAGAACTTAAGTCTGGCTTCTTATTCCTTATGTTATGTGATGTAAGTGTTGATAAACAAGTGGATGAACAGCACTTTTATGATAAACTAACATAAAAACAGTGCCATAACAGAAAAATATGAAAATAAGATAATAGAGTTAAAGGCAGTTATTACACTGAGTGAATCATGGACCTGGTAGTGATATTTTGTATGATCAATAAGAAAGATTTAAAAATCTACCACAAAAAACTGTTAATGTAGCAAGAACGACACCACAAAAACCTTAACTGAGAGATTCTGAAGCTAAGGAGATTTGTCTAATCTGTTTAAACCCTTTCTTTCCTTTAGGAAGGATTGATCGATCAGTGTTCAAATATGATGAGAGACACAATCAGGTATTTCATGGAAATTTCTTCTTTGTAATTACGTAATTTTATAATGAAATATACTGTATAAAAGTCATTCGTATCTTACATGTTTTCATCCATTATTATGATTCAGTTTCTTTTTTGGAAAGGATCATCTTTTTCTGCTTTAATTTCCCCCATATTATCAAAACAAGTTTACATGGCCTCAAAATCTTAGGAATTCAAAGTTTTTGAAAGAGAACCTAACCACAAGGAGAAAAAAATACAATGAATGCATAAGATGAACCTTGGAGAGCTGCAGTCTTACAAAGATAAGATCTCAGATAAGTTCAGCAATGGGACGAATTCAGTGGTAATTTACAGAGTTATAGTCCTTAGCAGTTTTATTATTTAGACCTTGTGAACATGGTAACTTAAGTAAATATAAACAGACTTTGATGCAAATTCATATGCAACCTTATATATATATATAAGAATTTGGACAAATTTGACAATGGTATTGATTCAGTTGTAATTTACAGAGTGATGGCCCTTTGCAGTTTTGTTACCACGAACCTTGTGAGCATAGTAACTTGAATAAATATGAACAGATTTAGATAAAAATTTCATGTAATTTGGTATGCAGCTTTATCTCAGTATGATCTCGCATCAGTTGAGATTATTCTGGTGACTGTTTAGTAGGCCCATGGGTCTCTTGTTTTGGTTAGGTAATCTGACCCGAAGGGTGAAAACGACCTATAGCCAATATGCTTCATACGTTGTTGAGCGTTGTGGATAAACTTTTTAGCCCACCATCATCAGTGGGCATCCAAATCACTCTGCATCCGTGGTCAGAGGTTTGTCTGTCCATTGTCCATCTGTCCATAAACAATTTTTATGTCTTTTTCTTAAAAAGACCTGGATGGATCTTTCTCAGATTTCATATGTAGGTTCCCCCTCTCCTCTAATTGTGCCCATGTAATTTTGGGGCTGATCAGAAAAACAAAATGGCTGGAAGGTGGCCATCTTGGATTATGACTTTGAAAGATTTTTATTGCTCTTTCTTGAGAAGTACTGGATGATAGGTTCCCCTTGGTCCCTAGTTGTGCCAGTTTGGTTATGGGTCTGATCAAAATCAAAATGGCCAACATAAAGCCATCTTGGATTTTGACTTTGCAAGTTTGTAATCACTATTTCTTGAGAAGTGCTGTATAGATCTTCTTCAGATTTCATGTATAGGGTTCTTAAGGTCCTAATAGTTGTGCCTTTTTGAGTTTGAGACTGATCATAAAACAAAATGGCTGACAGACAGCCACCGTGGATTTTGCTCGTAAAATTTTCACAGGAGCAAATAATTGAAACTTTGTGTATCATTCCATATAGTGTCTATAGATTAGTTTTGACCACAATTAAGCAAGGAAACTTGATGTGTACATTAGTTACACTCTGGCAATGTGCAGTGTATTAGAATTACGGCCCACAACATCTTGTTTACAGAGTTATTTCCCCTTGTTAAAAATTAAAAAATGAAAAGAATAATGAAATTTGGCATGTACATTGGTCATACTAAGACTGTGTGCGGTGTACCAGCATCAGGGTCCACAGCTCTGTAATAAAATCTTATTTATTAGATTGATGCCAAATAAACTCACAACTCATGAATCAATATAGCCTTACTCTCCTAGCATAAATATGTTTTAGACATAAATCCATAGATATGTATGTTATATATTAAAACATTATTCTTTCCTTTTCCAAGCTCCCCATTAAGTATATTTTTACTGATATGAGTCATTTATATGACTAAATACTAAATTCACAGACAGGAAAGCCTCCAATTAATTTGTTTTTAAGGAGCGTTCATCTGCTCCACTGATGCTTTTCATCTGTAATAGACATGTATCGGTTCTTGCTAGAGAGAGAAAACAGTTACTTGATAGTAGTGTGATATGGACAAACTGTTGGAGACATATTTGTATAGTGTATTTAGTGATGTATCCATTGTGTAATAGACATTCTTGTATCTTCAGTGGAAAGACAGTGTGTTCATACTATACCGCCAGCAGTAGATATGCCCTAAAGAGCATAACACAGGATTGTTGTGACTGGCTGCTTGCTAACCTGCTGGCTAATGAAAGTCCTCATCTCCTCCAGGGTATAAGGTACATTTTTTACCTTGTGTATTGTTATAACTAGTCTGATGAAGAGGAACCGATTGGTAGATCACAAAGCTGTGCAGATGTTGATATCATATGTCTATATATTGATGTGTTTTGTTATTGTTTCCTTCGGTGACATTGGTGACTACCAGTATATGTTGTACAGTGTAACACAGCATTGTTACTGTACCTATCTGAATTATTGATTAACTACTGTTTTATTATTGGTTTCAACAGTTTTGAGATGATGACAGACTTGGTTGCCTCCCCTTACCTCTCTGTCATGCAGGTGGAGATGGATGTCTATACTCTGTTGAAAAAGGTATGTTTATCTAACAGTAGTTTTTATATTTTCAAATTGTCCTACATCTGTCAGTCTGTCTGTAAACAACTTTGGATTTGGACTTCGAAAGATTATCATTATTTCTTGAGTAAAGCACAATGGATCTCTCTCAAATTTACTATGTTGGTACCCCTTGATCCCTAGTTGTGCCCATTCGATTTTGGGAGTGATCAGAAAAACAAAATGGCTAATAGGCATCCATCTTTGATTTGGTAGTTAAAGATTATTATCCCTATTTCTGCAAAGGAATGCTCAAATTTCTTATCATTAACAGCACAAAAACAGGGAAGAAAAGAAGGGAAAAAATTCAGCTTTAAAGAACTTATTCCATGGTGTGGCATCCAGCATTTGTTAAGCGTCTATCAACTTTTTACTAAAATCTTTTCTAGTCATGTACAACAATAGATTTTGACAAAATTTGGTCGGAATCATCTTTGAGGAAAGAGGAATTAAGTTAGTATAAATATTGGTTCTTGGCCCTCAGGGGCCTGAGGGGCAGGCCTCAAAAGTGGAATCCATTTTGTTTAAACGCTTGGTCTCTGCCTTCTGGGGTGGGAGGGGCAGGGACCAAAAAGGGAAATAGAGCAAATTATTTACATCCTACTTCTCCTGTAGGAATGATTGGATTTTGCCCAAATTTGGTAAAAAAAAAAAAATTTTGTATAGATGGAGAGTCTCCGTCCTCTAGAATGGAAGGGGCAGTGGGTAAAAGGGGAAATAGAGCAAATTTTTTAAAATCATACTCTTGTAGGAATGATTGGATTTTGCCCAAATTTGGCCAAAAGAATTTAGTATAGATGATGGGCCTCAGTCCTCTGGGGCAGGAATAAATAGTGGAAATAGAGGAAATTCTCTAAAATCCTTCTTTTGTGGGAATGCCTTGATTCTGTCCTTATTTGGTCTGAAGCACACCTAGTTGAAAGGAACCTAATTTTGTATCAACCAGGAGATGTAGGGCTCAGTAGGGGAAATTTAAACTCTTCACAAGCCTTCTTCTGTACAAGGATATTGTCCCAGTTTAGTCTGAAGCAATTTTTATGATTAGTGAATCAGACTTCTGTGTTGCCACAAGGCTGGAACCCAATAGGGAAAGTATTTGTCTTTGTTGAATGACGAATAAGCCAGATGAGAGATGCAAGCCCCTTGGGCCTCTTGTTTAACCTTGGTTAGATCCAGTGACGACCTTGTATTCTAAAAGTTTTACTACTGAATCCTCAAATATCATGTGTTTTTCAATTTCTTCTTAGTTGTGAACATGCAATTTTAAAAATAATGTTAGAAACGAAGTGGCTATGAGGCAAGAAGTACTGGAAGAACAAATCTCATATTTAACGTACCATTTTCCCTAGGTCCTTTGTGTACTGTACATATATTGTAACATAAGTAGACCTGGAAATAAATGCTGTATGATTGTTATGTATTGGTAAACTTATGTAGCAGAACACCGAGGTTTATTGCAGTATAAATTTGATATTGAATGTCAGAGATGTTAATAAAGATGATGAGTTGATGGCGGCACAGCCATCAGGAAAGGTCAGTGTTGCATTAACGTTGTACGAACCCTGTATATAATTATAGTGTGTATAATTTGAAGTCTATGGTCTATTTGATACAGTGGATGTTTGTCAAGTTAAACCCAACCTGGTCAGGAAACAACAAAGACTTAACTTCAGACTGTGATACCTTCTACAGAGTGTCCACCAGTACAACAGGTACTTACACTTCCTCCTAACATCTTCTACACAGTGTCCAACAGTACAACAGGTACTTAAACTTCCTCCTAATATCTTCTACAGAGTGTCCACCAGTACAACAGGTACTTACACTTTCTCCTTACATCTTCTACACAGTGTCCACCAGTACAACAGGTACTTACACTTCCTCCTTACTTCTACACAGTGTCCACCAGTACAACAGGTACTTACACTTCCTCCTTACTTCTACAGAGTGTCCACCAGTACAACAGGTACTTACACTTCCTCCTTACATCTTCTACATAGTGTCCACCAGTACAACAGGTACTTACACTTCCTCCTAACATCTTCTACAGAGTGTCCACCAGTACAACAGGTACTTACACTTCCTCCTTACATCTTCTACATAGTGTCCACCAGTACAACAGGTACTTACACTTCCTCCTTACATCTTCTACACAGTGTCCACCAGTACAACAGGTACTTACACTTCCTCCTTACATCTTCTACAGAGTGTCCACCAGTACAACAGGTACTTACACTTCCTCCTTACATCTTCTACACAGTGTCCACCAGTACAACAGGTACTTACACTTCCTCCTTACATCTTCTACACAGTGTCCACCAGTACAACAGGTACTTACACTTCCTCCTTACATCTTCTACACAGTGTCCACCAGTACAACAGGTACTTACACTTCCTCCTTACATCTTCTACAGAGTGTCCACCAGTACAACAGGTACTTACACTTCCTCCTTACATCTTCTACACAGTGTCCACCAGTACAACAGGTACTTACACTTCCTCCTTACATCTTCTACAGAGTGTCCACCAGTACAACAGGTACTTACACTTCCTCCTTACATCTTCTACACAGTGTCCACCAGTACAACAGGTACTTACACTTCCTCCTTACATCTTCTACAGAGTGTCCACCAGTACAACAGGTACTTACACTTTCTCCTTACTTCTACACAGTGTCCACCAGTACAACAGGTACTTACACTTCCTCCTTACCACCAGTTGTCCACCAGTACAACAGGTACTTACACTTCCTCCTTACATCTTCTACACAGTGTCCACCAGTACAACAGGTACTTACACTTCCTCCTTACTTCTACAGAGTGTCCACCAGTACAACAGGTACTTACACTTCCTCCTTACATCTTCTACAGAGTGTCCACCAGTACAACAGGTACTTACACTTCCTCCTTACATCTTCTACAGAGTGTCCACCAGTACAACAGGTACTTACACTTCCTCCTTACTTCTACACAGTGTCCACCAGTACAACAGGTACTTACACTTCCTCCTTACATCTTCTACACAGTGTCCACCAGTACAACAGGTACTTACACTTCCTGTCCACCAGTACAACAGGTACTTACACTTCCTCTTCTACAACAGGTACTTCACTACACACAGTGTCCACCAGTACAACAGGTACTTACATCTTCTACAGAGTGTCCACCAGTACAACAGGTACTTACACTTCCTCCTTACTTCTACACAGTGTCCACCAGTACAACAGGTACTTACACTTCCTCCTTACATCTTCTACAGAGTGTCCACCAGTACAACAGGTACTTACACTTCCTCCTTACATCTTCTACACAGTGTCCACCAGTACAACAGGTACTTACACTTCCTCCTAACATCTTCTACACAGTGTCCACCAGTACAACAGGTACTTACACTTCCTCCTAACATCTTCTACACAGTGTCCACCAGTACAACAGGTACTTACACTTCCTCCTTACATCTTCTACAGAGTGTCCACCAGTACAACAGGTACTTACACTTCCTCCTTACTTCTACAGAGTGTTATAGAAACAAGTGCATGATATTCAAATTTTCAACTATTTAGATTTTCCGTTGTTGTTTGATACAGGAACAAAGGAAGAAAAGACAGCTTTTTTAACAACTAAAGATGGGCAGCAATTTTTACATCCTTTTTGTAAAATTCGATGGCAACACCTTCTGACTGATCTTTCTTCACTGAAAATCCTGGAGAAGGACAATATCATTGATCTAGGTAATGGTATAGAATATTTCACAGTAATTTTAATGTACTAGTGGATCAGGGTTGGCATCTTTGTAGCTGTGCCATTGTACAATTAGGACCTTAACTAGCTGTGCGGTTCTTTTTGTCTCCAGAAATACTGCAAATATATTTGCCTCCCTCTTGTTACTAGTCCCCGCTTGGGGAGGAGGTACAGTTTACAACAGTTTGCAGGAAAATTACATTTTCATGCTCCTTGAATAATTTGGGAGTGTGGGGGGGCATATACCATATTTTCTGGGTTACAATCCTCACCAGTATATAAGCTTGAGAGCAGATTTTTTACAATTTTGTTTTTATTTGATCAACATATTAGCCACACCCTTTCTTAAGAGATGTTGACATTTGATATACTGGTAACAGTAACGGAAGGCACTTCTTATGAAGTTGTAACATTGACCAAAATTTGTTGATATAACAGACGGTTGAGGGCAGTTTATCAAGATCTTCAGTTGAAACATTTAATAAGTTTGCAAATGAATTATACACAGATAATCAATGATTTATCAGTTTCAGTGATATTTTTGTGAACATATTTTCTTTTGATTCAAACATAGTTGGAATTTTCATTAAATAGGATGGCAGTTATGTTTCGCACTTTTAAACCTGCATTACGTATACAATTTAGTTCAAGTTTTTTTGTTTTTTGTTTTGTTTTGTTTTTTTTTGGTATCGAAGATTATTTCTGTAACATGTTACAAGAACAGCGAAAGTATTGTAAGTCAGCTGACAGTTCAGTTACTTGTTTGAAAAGTGCCAGATGGATCTTTTAATCACATCCTGGTGTATTGTTTTTTCAGATTGGATAAGATTAGGCTATGAGCATCAATGGAAAGAAATGCTAAAAATGGAACAGGGACAGGATTCAGGGTAAGGCTTGACTTATGTTCAATGTCTGATCTGGTACATGTTTGTTTTATGAAAATTACAATGGATGTAGTTTTTTAGCAATAATTGTCTGTAAACATGGTGTGGCATCTGATGTATGTCTTGTGTTAAATATTATGTTGAGCGTGAAGTGTTGATACCTGGTCAGTAGTTTATTGGGGTGGATCTGTAAATCACTGACGCTTGGTCAGTAGTTTATTGGGGTGGAGCTGTAAATCATTGACACTTGGTCAGTAGTTTATTGGGGTGGAGCTGTAAATCATTGACACTTGGTCAGTAGTTTATTGGGGTGGATCTGTAAATCACTGACGCTTGGTCAGTAGTTTATTGGGGTGGAGCTGTAAATCATTGACACTTGGTCAGTAGTTTATTGGGGTGGGTCTGTAAATCATTGACACTTGGTCAGTAGTTTATTGGGGTGGAGCTGTAAATCATTGACACTTGGTCAGTGAGTTAATAGAATGAAAGAATTAAAGTAATGTCACATTAAGTTACATAGCACAACATGACATGACATGGGTATATTTCCTGTACAACAAGGCGATGATGTGATTTGTGTAAATCTTCTAACTTGGAATGGTATAAAAGTGTTCAGTAGGATTGGTACAAATACAGCAATGGAAAACTAATGTCGCAAGCTTTTAAAACACTTCTTTACTTTCTGAAGAATGAGCAAATATTTAATGCTTTAGTCCAAAAGGCACTAAGAGTGGTGAATTGTACAACCAACTTTAAAATTTGAGAGATTTCACTCTTAGTAACACTAGATATATATGGAGCAGGGATTGGCAGGAGCCACTTGTAATCAATAGGTTCATCAAATATTATTTGTATTTCAGACCAGCAGAAATTCCTGATCAGGCTGTGTTTGACCGTCTCTCCCTACGATGTGGACGAGTGTTACCCAAGGATGGAGAGGTAATGGGTTAGTCCGCTGAGTATAGAAACACATTTATGTTACAAGGTGGTAGTAAGTAAAGAAATTGTGCAAGAAATATAGTACTGCTTAATTTTTTTGATATCCGGGATTTTAATCCTTACATTCATGAGGAGTTAAGTGATCTATCAATTATCATGTCTAATATATAAACAGTAGCTTTGTTTTATCACAAAAATGTAATTTTCTCCACTTTGTAATAGAATGGTACATAGTGTGTAGCTGAAGTAGAATATTTCACTGTTAATTAAGGGGTACTATGAATAAACAGGATCATATGAGAAGAGTTTGCCTTCTGCGCTACTGTTTATATATTAGACATGGTGAGTTGTAGTAACACCAGGGCTCTCGATCTGCCAGATTTGGGGCCGAATATTCCCGATGCAAAATAGTATCTTTTTTTCCCAATTTAGATCCCAAGTTTTCCCAATTCTAAGGAAAACACAGCTATTTTTTCCCAATTCTAAGGGCCCCGGGCCCCAGTCCCAAAATGGGGTGCGAGAACCCAGAACACTAATGTTACATGTACCATGTGACCTGTCACTTCATTAAATTTCTCAATCATGCATTACAAGTACTTTTGACTGCATTAAAAGAGATATCAGGACATATTCAAGTGGTGTCATATCAGTGATAGTGCTATATGGATGAATGTGTAATAGAACTGAACAAAAACAAAAACCCTGTAAATAAACAAAATGGTGACAGGTAACCATCCTAGATTTGGAAAGTTTGTTGTTGCTAAGTACTAAAGAAATCTGTGGATGGACCAGTTAGTCTCCCCTTGAGCCTTAATATTCAGTACTCGGAGTGAAAAAAGGGAACAGAATTGATCCTAAATGGTACTACATGACATTCTCTTTACAGTACTGCTGGAGATGGATAGGATACAATTATGGTGTGGATCTCTTGGTAACTTATATGAACAATATTATCACTCTCAAACGGAACACTCACAGTCAGTCATGTCCTCACGCAGTCAGCTTACAGACACTACGGCATGTCACCTACAGGTGAGTTACATCAGATACAGGTGAGTTATAGGTACTGATACATCAGATACAGGTGAGTTATAGGTACTGATACATCAGATACAGGTGAGTTATAGGTGCTGATACATCAGATACAGGTGAGTTATAGGTACTGATACATCAGATACAGGTGAGTTATAGGTGCTGATACATCAGATACAGGTGAGTTATAGGTACTGATACATCAGATGCAGGGGAGTTATAGGTACTGATACATCAGATACAGGTGAGTTACTGATACATCAGATACAGGTAAGTTATAGGTACTGATACATCAGATACAGGTGAGTTACTGATACATCAGATACAGGTGAGTTATAGGTACTGATACATCAGATACAGGTGAGTTATAGGTGCTGATACATCAGATACAGGTGAGTTATAGGTACTGATACATCAGATACAGGTGAGTTATAGGTACTGATACATCAGATGCAGGGGAGTTATAGGTACTGATACATCAGATACAGGTGAGTTATAGGTACTGATACATCAGATACAGGTGAGTTATAGGTACTGATACATCAGATACAGGTGAGTTATAGGTGCTGATACATCAGATACAGGTGAGTTATAGGTGCTGATACATCAGATACAGGTGAGTTATAGGTACTGATACATCAGATACAGGTGAGTTATAGGTACTGATACATCAGATACAGGTGAGTTATAGGTGCTGATACATCAGATACAGGTGAGTTATAGGTACTGATACATCAGATACAGGTGAGTTATAGGTACTGATACATCAGATACAGGTGAGTTATAGGTACTGATACATCAGATACAGGTGAGTTATAGGTACTGATACATCAGATACAGATACAGGTGAGTTATAGGTACTCAGATACATCAGATACAGATACAGTGAGTTATAGGTACTGATACATCAGATACAGGTGAGTTATAGGTACTGATACATCAGATACAGGTGAGTTATAGGTACTGATACATCAGATACAGGTGAGTTATAGGTACTGATACATCAGATACAGGTGAGTTATAGGTACTGATACATTAGATACAGGTGAGTTATAGGTACTGATACACCAGCATTAAAACAAACCCTTTGTGCTTGTTAACCTTTTATCAACCTCAGAAAAAATACCAGTCTTGAAATAAATGCTTGGTTGGTGTTTTATTATAGGTAAATTAAGTATACTATTTATATCCTTTACTGTGTCCCATTATCATTACACACATCAATAACGCTAATGTCTTGTGCAGATGTGTTTATGAAGGAATGACTCCTGCACATTATTTAGAAATGCCTCCACAAAATCTATTTGAAATATTAGTTTTTATGTCAATCCTTTTGTTATCTGAATAGACAACAATGGGATAAACATTAAATTGTGTAAGTAGCAAATGATAAATAAATATGTGAGCATATGAAATTTATTGCCTGTTGCCATGGTTATAAGAGGGGTTAAAACAATAGGTAGTTTTTAGGCTGACAAACTTGTGTTGTTTAATGATCAGTGACTTTGAATTTCAAAATGGACAAAAACAAAATTGCATGATAATTATGAAGAAAATCTGTAAATAGAAGTTGATAGTTTTTTTAAGGCTGTCAGGGGATAACTACAATTGAACTTCAATAAGTAAGCTTCCTGGACTGGCTTTGGCAGTTATTCAATTCATCAGAGGTAGATTTTAGTCATCCTCTGATAACCTAAACTATAAAAGATTGGGATATTCTTGTCTAGAATTGATTGTTGTGATTCAATATTATTTCTGTATCAATCTTATATATCCAGGTTGAATGTAGCCTGTTTTGATGAGAATGGCAAACTGAAGAATTCAAAATCCACTGGTCTGAAGCACATCAGCTTAGGGAAGGATGAGGTAAGTCCGACTATTGACAGGAACAGATACCTCTAAAGAATCGGTCAGATATACTACAATAGATAGCGAAGGATAAGGTAAGTCCGACTTCTGACAGGAACAGATACTTCTAAAGAATCTGTCAGATATACTACAATAAATAGCGAAGGATGAGGTAAGTCCGACTTCTGACAGGAACAGATACCTCTAAAGAATCTGTCAGATATACTACAATAGATAGCGAAGGATGAGGTAAGTCAGACTTCTGACAGGAACAGGTACTTCTAAAGAATCTGTCAGATATACTACAATAGATAGCGAAGGATGAGGTAAGTCCGACTTCTGACAGGAACAGATACCTCTAAAGAATCTGTCAGATATACTACAATAGATAGTGAAGGATAAGGTAAGTCCGACTTCTGACAGGAACAGGTACTTCTAAAGAATCTGTCAGATATACTACAATAGATAGTGAAGGATGAGGTAAGTCTGACTTCTGACAGGAACAGGTACTTCTAAAGAATCTGTCAGATATACTACAATAGATAGTGAAGGATAAGGTAAGTCCGACTTCTGACAGGAACAGATACCTCTAAAGAATCTGTCAGATATACTACAATAGATAGTGAAGGATGAGGTAAGTCAGACTTCTGACAGGAACAGTTACTTCTAAAGAATCGGTCAGATATACTACAATAGATAGCGAAGGATGAGGTAAGTCAGACTTCTGACAGGAACAGATACCTCTAAAGAATCTGTCAGATATACTACAATAGATAGTGAAGGATGAGGTAAGTCAGACTTCTGACAGGAACAGGTACTTCTAAAGAATCTGTCAGATATACTACAATAGATAGTGAAGGATGAGGTAAGTCCGACTTCTGAGAGGAACAGATACCTCTAAAGAATCGGTCAGATATACTACAATAGAAAGTTGTTGACAATGTTTGTATGAGTTAAAGACATGAGTGTAGATCATCAGTAAAATATATTGTGTGGAGACGAGTTGACACAAGTTGACTCTGGATACAACACCGTGATCAGTGACCTCTACTGATAGTGTTTATTTGATTGACAAAGATGGTATCTATTCATGCTATGAATTGTTGGTCTAAAAATCTCAAAAAAAAACCAGAAACATTGTTGGTCTATATACTGAGAAATAAATAGCAGTGTGAACTCTCATCATTGTCAAAACCTGCAAGCTTTCATCAGGAAATCATTAAACATTAAATGTACTTGTCAATTTAGTTGACATAGTGATGAATAATAAAGAAAGGTCATTAAGAATTGCTACGTTTACATCTCCATGGCGACTGATTACATGACATTTTTACAGGAGGTGGTAGTGATGACACTGGGTCAGGGCTTCATCTTTCCCCTCCATATCACTGTCAACTTGTTGCTGACCACACCACCTGACTCTGGTCATCCACCCATCAGCATGGATTGTGATACCATTAGGGCAGGTATCCAAGGAAACAGCCAGGTAGAAAGTCACTGTGATACAGGTGTACAGACAGTATGTGATCTTCCAATGAGAGGTTGTGATATTGGAGTACAAACTATCCCTTCTGTGGGCCAACTCGTGGAGGCTTCCCACAAGGGAGTACAGACTATCTCTTCTTTGGATCAAACTTTGGTATGAATGAACCTATGCTATGTTAGAAAGATAGTCAAACTTGCAATTTGTGAGCCAATCAACTTTTTGAATGGTTGAGTAAAGTCTTGAGTGCCCATCAACTCTGGAATGGCTGAGTACAGTCTTGAGTGCCCATCAACTCTGGAATGGTTGTGTACAGTCTTGAGTGCCCATCTTCTCTGGAATGCTTGAGAACAGTCTTGAGTGCCCATCAACTCTGGAATGGTTGAGTATAGTCTTGAGTGCCCATCAACTGTGGAATGTTTGAGTAAAATCTTGAGTGCCCATCAACTCTGGATTGGTTGAGTACAGTCTTGAGTGTCCATCAACTGTGGAATGTTTGAGTAAAATCTTGAGTGCCCATCAACTCTGGATTGGTTGAGTACAGTCTTGAGTGCCAGACAACTCTGGGATGCTTGAGAACAGTCTTGAGTGCCAGTCAACTCTGGAATGATTGTGTACAGTCTTGAGTGCCCATCAACTCTGGAATGGTTGAGTACAGTCTTGAGTGCCTATCAACTCTGGGATGTTTGAGTACAGTCTTGAGTGCCCATCAACTCTGGAATGTTTGTGTACAGTCTTGAGTGCCCATCAACTCTGGAGTAGTTGAGTACAGTCTTGAGTGCCAGACAACTCTGGGATGCTTGAGAATAGTCTTGAGTGCCCATCAACTCTGGGATGGTTGAGTACAGTCTTGAGTGCCCATCAACTCTGGAATGGTTGAGTACAGTCTTGAGTGCCTATCAACTCTGGGATGTTTGAGTACAGTCTTGAGTGCCAGTCAACTCTGGAATGGTTGTGTACAGTCTTGAGTGCCTATCAACTCTGGGATGTTTGAGTACAGTCTTGAGTGCCAGTCAACTCTGGAATGGTTGTGTACAGTCTTGAGTGCCCATCAACTCTGGAATGATTGAGTAAAGTCTTTAGTGTCAGACAACTCTGGAATGGTTGAGTACAGTCTTGAGTGCCCATCAACTCTGGAATGGTTGTGTACAGTCTTGAGTGCCCATCAACTCTGGAATGGTTGAGTACAGTCTTGAGTGCCAGTCAACTCTGGAATGGTTGTGTACAGTCTTGAGTGCCCATCAACTCTGGAATGTTTGTGTACAGTCTTGAGTGCCCATCAACTCTGGAATGGTTGAGTACAGTCTTGAGTGCCAGTTAACTTTTGGAATGGTTGTGTACTTTTGCCCCCTGGCAGGGAGAGTGTAAAGTTTAAAGGAATGACATATTTTGAAAAAAATGCTTACTTGATTTCAACCATATTTTCTTTTTCCATTGGTTGCTGTTTTTTTTTTTTTTTTTCTGAAAGCCGTTCAAAATTGGGGGCCAAGAGAGGGGCCTCAAATAGGCAAAAAATTTGAAAATATTTTATAAATGTTAGAACTAAATTTGTTTTCACAGTTGTAAAGCCCTTGTAGAATCTGATTGAAATTCAGGCATGTCTTGCTCTCTTGCTACAGAACCTAAGTAGTAAAATTGACCCTGTTGAAGGATTACCAGGGGAACAGGACAGGCCTGAATTTCTCAACCTCGATAAAAGGTTGAAGAGCTGTACAAATGTGAAAAGTGTTAAAGTCGTGCTAGGTAAGTGCATGCTAATGGTAGATGTTGACTTCTCTTGGCCAGGGTGATCCTTTGAAGAAAACAATTCAAATTACAAAACAAGGTCTGTCATGATCATCATTACCCAGGCTTCAGATGAGGGGTCCTGAAGGGAGAACTGTTTAATCCTGGAATTCAATAGCATTGCTTGTGGATATGAATCAAAGTTGGGCATATAATGAGTTTTTTTGTTGAGCTAATTATATCAGAACTGCAAGCCAATAACGGGTCAGATGGTTTATTTGAAATATCACAAGGTCAAGTGGTCAGCATGTAGTTAATCGGATCCATTGTCACAGACGATGGAACAGTCAGAAGGCTCCAGAGTATGATAACATCATGAAAACAATAAGTGCATTTGATAATAACTCAGGTTTTTTAATTGTTATCAACTTCTAACATCACAAAGAAATAACCACATTTTTCTTAATACTCATTTTGTTTTATATTTAACCTCAAATTAAAATGAAATCCCTCAAATTTACAAGGAATTGTTGTTTGTGAAGATGATACATATGAAATGTAACAGAAACTTCAGTAAGACAGTTATAACTCAGTGTATTGGAATGTCACTCTGTGGTATTGTGTCATTTTTCACTCCTCCAGGTGAGAGTGTCATGCTTCCATTACTCTGTCAATCCAGCTCCTGTAGTAGTTTATACGTGTGTAGATTCCTGGGAAGTCCTTCATTCCACATTCGTAGCCGCTGGAAACCACTCCCACTAATTTCCAGCGGTCATCGCTAGGGCTCTGACACATCAACGGTCCTCCGGAGTCACCCTAGAATATGACTTCTATTACCATACATACAAAAGACACATTTCACAAATCTGTAAATGAAATTCATAAAGGTGATCCATTACAAAATAAATATTTTAAATCTTGTCAATTTGAAGTTCACAGATAGTAATTGTTTTAATCAGTTATCAATAGAAACATTGATTTTAAGCAGCTTACCAAGCATGCATCATGACCTTCATCTGAGGCAGCACATATTGTTGACTGATCTATATAAAACTCTGTCTCTACTGCTTCATACTGCTCACTGCATACGTCGGTGTCCACCAAAGAAACAGAGGCTATCAGGGGAATGAAATTTCCCCAACCCTTGGGTCCTGTAAGGTCAAAGTTCACTGTTACCAATGGTATATGGCATATTGATCAGAACTTTGTTAAGCTAACGGTTCGGTGTCAGTAGATTATTTCTTAAGATAATCATTCTATATATGAAGTTGTTGAATCGTTCTGTTGATAGTTTTGAAAAGGACAAATCTCATAGAAGTACTTCTATATTTGTCATTATCAGAACTGTTTATGACTGCCTGTACATCAGTGTTATTGCAGAAATGAAGAAATGCCTGTACATCAGTGTTATTGCAGAAATGAAGAAATGCCTGTACATCAGTGTTATTGCAGAAATGAAGAAATGCCTGTACATTAGTGTTATTGCAGAAATGAAGAAATGCCTGTACATCAGTGTTATTGCAGAAATGAAGAAATGCCTGTACATCAGTGTTATTGCAGAAATGAAGAAATGCCTGTACATCAGTGTTATTGCAGAAATGAAGAAATGCCTGTACATCAGTGTTATTGCAGAAATGAAGAAATGCCTGTACATCAGTGTTATTGCAGAAATGAAGAAATGCCTGTACATCAGTGTTATTGCAGAAATGAAGAAATGCCTGTACATCAGTGTTATTGCAGAAATGAAGAAATGCCTGTACATTAGTGTTATTGCAGAAATGAAGAAATGCCTGTACATCAGTGTTATTGCAGAAATGAAGAAATGCCTGTACATCAGTGTTATTGCAGAAATGAAGAAATGCCTGTACATCAGTGTTATTGCAGAAATGAAGAAATGCCTGTACATCAGTGTTATTGCAGAAATGAAGAAATGCCTGTACATCAGTGTTATTGCAGAAATGAAGGAATGCCTGTACATCAGTGTTATTGCAGAAATGAAGGAATGCCTGTACATCAGTGTTATTGCAGAAATGAAGAAATGCCTGTACATCAGTGTTACTGCAGAAATGAAGGAATGCCTGTACATTAGTGTTATTGCTGAAATGACTACACGGTCAACTTCATCAGACAAATGACCAGTGTGGAGCGCACTAGTACTGACGTATGTTGTGTACAGATGGTGTGGAATCCACTAATTTTTTCGGCTGTACTATAATCCCAAGTACACTAAGGTCCAAAGTAGTGTGACAAGATGGTAAACAGATTATAGACAAAAAATACACCATATAGTAACCATATACTGTAGTGAATTCAGCTATGCTTTGTTTAACACTTTGTCATAGATGTGTGAGAGTATTTGGACTTGTCCCTATTTAGTTCAGACCCACTATGGTGTATCCAGATGGCCTCCTTAACCAGCCACCTGAAAGGAGTATTTTCCATGTCAACTCTTTTGGAATTGTCCCAGTCAGTGATATGATCTGGCTTTGTGGAATTATCTGCAAATTAATTTATTGATCCTGAACTGGATGTTCTGATCGAGTGAATTCTTTACCTTCTTGGGATTTCACCTCTATCTGGTTTTCTCAAATATACAATGTCACAGTTCTTGCATGTACTATACTTGGATTCAAATAAGCAAATTGTAGTTTCAGCAGTCCTAAAATTTTGATTTACCTGCAGATTATAGACATACTAACTACAGTACTAACTGATGAAGAGACTTAATACTTTCATCACTAGCTTTCAAATAGATATATATAGAATTTTTACTCCTAATTAAGGTCCAATGTCCCAACTTAGAGAGTAACAAAAATTACAAGAAATTCTCACCACAGATCATTATTGTTAAAAGCTTCCAGTCACAAAATTGTTAAAGCCCCCACAAAGTAAGCTGTACTTCATGTTCAAATTTTACATATAGCATCAAAACACTAATATAAAAGAACATTGACACAACTTTGAGATGACATCTACAATTCCTGTTAAAATTGTGGGCTTGATGTTTAGCTTTAAGTATTATACTTATCACATTCATATTCATGTTCTATTGACCAATCGTAATAAATTTCTATCAGTTTTGGGAGATACAACGTTGTTGGACATTTTGCGAATAATATAAAATGAAGTGGACACAGAAGGTTAAAAAGCAAAATATTTACAGCAACATGGTCGCAACTTACGGTAAGAAACTTGTCCCCATCCGGCAACAGAGCACAGCTGGCCAGGGGCGAATTCACCTTCATCTAGATCGGCTGTGTCTTCAAGTTGTAGCAGTTCGACAGGCATTAACTTCAGTAGAGCGATGTCATATAGCAGGGTGTTTACTACAAAGTATACGGTAAAGTAAGATGTCCAAAATATATAGCAGGGTGTTTACTACAGCGTATACAATAACATGTCCAAAATATATAGCAGGGTGTTTACTACAGCGTATACGGTAAAGTAACATGTCTAAAATATATAACAGGGTGTTTACTACAGCGTATACAATAACATGTCCAAAATATATAGCAGGGTGTTTGCTACAGCGTATACGGTAAAGTAACATGTCTAAAATATATAGCAGGGCGTTTACTACAGCGTATACAATAACATGTCCAAAATATATAGCAGGGTGTTTGCTACAGCGTATACAATAACATGTCCAAAATATATAGCAGGGTGTTTACTACAGTGTAGACAATAACATGTCCAAAATATATAGCAGGGTGTTTGCTACAGCGTATACGGTAAAATAACATGTCTAAAATATATAGCAGGGTGTTTGCTACAGCGTATACAATAACGTGTCCAAAATATATAGCAGGGTGTTTGCTACAGCATGTACGGTAAAATAACGTCTTTATTGTGTACAACATATCAATATATTAAGCGTCGAATATGGCAGACATTGACTTTATTGTGTACTACATCAAGATATTGACTGTAGAATATGGCAGACATTGACTTTATTGTGTACTTTATGTACATATGGCAGATAAGATATTGACTGTAGAATATGGCAGACATTGACTTTGTGTAGAATATGGCAACATTGACTTTGTGTACAACATATATTGACTGTAGAATATGGCAGATATTGACTTTGTGTACAACATCAAGATATTGACTGTAGAATATGGCAGATATTGACTTTGTGTACAACATCAAGATATTGACTGTAGAATATGGCAGACATTGACTTTGTGTACAACATCAAGATATTGACTGTAGAATATGGCAGATATTGACTTTGTGTACAACATCAAGATATTGACTGTAGAATATGGCAGACATTGACTTTGTGTACAACATCAAGATATTGACTGTAGAATATGGCAGACATTGACTTTATTGTGTACAACATCAAGATATTGACTGTAGAATATGGCAGATATTGACTTTATTGTGTACAACATCAAGATATTGACTGTAGAATATGGCAGACATTGACTTTGTGTACAACATCAAGATATTGACTGTAGAATATGGCAGATATTGACTTTGTGTACAACATCAAGATATTGACTGTAGAATATGGCAGATATTGACTTTATTGTGTACATCATCAAGATATTGACTGTAGAATATGGCAGATATTGACTTTGTGTACAACATCAAGATATTGACTGTAGAATATGGCAGACATTGACTTTGTGTACAACATCAAGATATTGACTGTAGAATATGGCAGACATTGACTTTGTGTACAACATCAAGATATTGACTGTAGAATATGGCAGACATTGACTTTATTGCTTATTTTGTGAATATACATTGACTTTGTGTAAGTTCGTGTGTATATGGATTTGACGTCAATGTGTACAACATCAAGATATTGACTGTAGAATATGGCAGACCTTTGTGTACAACATCTGTCTGGTACTGGTTGTGTTCTCCTATTATAACCTCCAACATCAAGATATTGAATGTAGAATATGGCAGATATTGACTTTGTGTACAACATCAAGATATTAGAATATGTTTCGGGTTACCTAAGCCTGCGTTCATCTCTTCACTGTAAAGATTTTTCTCCGTGTTAATACTATAAATCATTTCTGTACACATCATATTTATCATGTTATACAAGGAACTTGTCCACCTTGCATACTTTATTCAGCAGTCAGATATACTCTGATATACCCTTAGCAGGCCTGCCGAAGAGGCGGATTGTACAAAAGACACAAAATAATAACAACTTTAAATACATTCGGGAGAAAAGCCAAAACATTATTTTATCTGTATCTTATAAATGTTTACGATATACCCTTAGCAGGCCTGCCGAAGAGGCGGATTGTACAAAAGACTTCTGTTTCGTTCTGGGACTCGTCAGTGATACTACATCATACAGCTATTTCGTCCTGGGACTCGTCAGTGATACTACATCATACAGCTGTTTCGTCCTGGGACTCGTCAGTGATACTACATCATACAGCTATTTCGTCCTGGGACTCGTCAGTGATACTACATCATACAGCTGTTTCGTCCTGGGACTAGTCAGTGATACTACATCATACAGCTGTTTCGTCCTGGGACTCGTCAGTGATACTACATCATACAGCTGTTTCGTCCTGGGACTCGTCAGTGATACTACATCATACAGCTGTTTCGTCCTGGGACTCGTCAGTGATACTACATCATACAGCTGTTTCGTCCTGGGACTCGTCAGTGATACTACATCATACAGCTGTTTCGTCCTTCTAAGCGTCGTCAGTGATACTACATCATACAGTTTTTTGGTCCGTCTAGGACTCGTCAGTGATGCTACATCATACATCTGTTTCGTCCTTCTAAGCCTCGTCAATGATGCTACATCATACATCTGTTTCGTCCTTCTAAGACTCGTCAGTGATGGTATTTTTGTTATCACAAAAAATGCTTACTTGTTTAATGTCATTAAATAGATAAAGATAAATTCAACATTTGATTCAACAAGTTATCAAGTACATTACAAAGTCAAATGCAGTTTTCATCTGATGTACATTAGAAGTATTCTAATCCATCGGCAATACCAGAGAAGAGATCCCAATTACAATTACATTACCTGAATAAAAAAATACACCGCGAATGGCACATCCCAAGATGGATATAACTAAAGTACCGGAAGTGCCGGATGTACTGGAAATGGCTCGTCCCCGGATGGACATACCCAAAGTAAAATTGTACCAGGAACAGCCCTTCCCCGGATGGACATACCTGAAGTAAAGATTATCAGATACAGTTTGTGCCTTGATGAGCATACCGAAAGTAAAGATATGCCAGGAATGACCCGCCCCCTGACACACATACCTGAATTAAACATTTTCTGAAATAACCCTCCCCTGGTGGACATTACCTGACGCAGTGTGCAGCAGTGATGACCCACTCGGGGTTTGTGCTGATGAGAGTGCCACCACACAAATGTCGCATGCCAGTTTTCTCCGTAAACCAGAATGGGCGTAAGAAATGAAGAGAGACGAGCCATGGCCATTGGTTCCGCCCCATGGGCGTGCCTCCTACCACACGTTTCCCATGGTCCTCAGCTTTGAGGTCGTCAGATGCTGTCTTCTGCCCTGTCACGTCCTGTTTCTCCCCATGGTCCTCAGCATTGAGGTCGTCAGATGCTGTCTTCTGCCCTGTCACGTCCCGTTTCTCCCCATGGTCCTCGGCATTGAGGTCGTCAGATGCTGTTGTCTGCCCTGTCACGTCCCGTTTCTCCCCGTCGTTGTTTAGAACTAACTTGTCGACGAACACTTGTAGTTGTTCTTTCACTTGCTGAATCTCATCCTCCGGGCTAACACAAGAGCCATTGCATACCAGAACAAGGACTGTTATTATAATCACTGAAATTATAGGAACCAGCATTTATAATATGGTTTGATGACAACAAAATGGCCGTCTATTAGTGAAGTAATAAGACTGTGAGTATCTATATTCATATTATTTACACGTGGAATAACAAAGTATATACAGGAGCAATAATCTGCTGCGGTATATAACTTATGAAGTGGATCAAGCTGCTAATCAAAGTTAACAATTTTTTAGGGATCATCTAAAGTTATTTCAAGGTGTTCTCTTTTACAGAGTATTGTGTTATACTGTCCCCTTTACAGAGTCTTGTGTTATACTGTCCCCTTTACAGAGTATTGTGTTATACTGTTCCCTTTACAGAGTTTTGTGTTATACTGTTCCCTTTACAGAGTATTTTGTTATACTGTTCCCTTTACAGAGTATTTTGTTATACTGTTCCCTTTACAGAGTCTTGTGTTATACTGTTCCCTTTACAGAGTATTGTGTTATACTGTTCCCTTTACAGAGTATTGTGTTATACTGTTCCCTTTACAGAGTATTTTGTTATACTGTTCCCTTTACAGAGTATTGTGTTATACTGTTCCCTTTACAGAGTATTGTTATACTGTTATACTGTTCCCTTTACAGAGTGTTCCCTTTACAGAGTCTTGTGTTATACTGTCCCCTTTACAGAGTCTTGTGTTATACTGTTCCCTTTACAGAGTATTGTGTTATACTGTCCCCTTTACAGAGTCTTGTGTTATACTGTCCCCTTTACAGAGTATTGTGTTACAGAGTACTTTACAGAGTTTTACAGAGTATTGTGTTATACTGTTCCCTTTACAGAGTATTTTGTTATACTGTTCCCTTTACAGAGTTTAGTGTTATACTGTTCCCTTTACAGAGTATTGTGTTATACTGTCCCCTTTACAGAGTATTTTGTTATACTGTTCCCTTTACAGAGTCTTGTGTTATACTGTTCCCTTTACAGAGTATTTTGTTATACTGTTCCCTTTACAGAGTCTTGTGTTATACTGTTCCCTTTACAGAGTATTTTGTTATACTGTTCCCTTTACAGAGTATTTTGTTATACTGTTCCCTTTACAGAGTATTTTGTTATACTGTTCCCTTTACAGAGTATTTTGTTATACTGTTCCCTTTACAGAGTATTGTGTTATACTGTTCCCTTTACAGAGTATTGTGTTATACTGTTCCCTTTACAGAGTTTTGTGTTATACTGTTCCCTTTACAGAGTATTTTGTTATACTGTTCCCTTTACAGAGTATTTTGTTATACTGTTCCCTTTACAGAGTATTGTGTTATACTGTTCCCTTTACAGAGTCTTGTGTTATACTGTCCCCTTTACAGAGTATTGTGTTGTACTGTTCCCTTTACAGAGTTTTGTGTTATACTGTTCCCTTTACAGAGTATTTTGTTATACTGTTCCCTTTACAGAGTATTTTGTTATACTGTTCCCTGTACAGAGTTTTTTGTTATAGTGTCTGCAGTACAGAGTTGTGTTTTTTAGTTTTCCCTTTACAGAGTATTTTGTTATACTGTTCCCTTTACAGAGTATTTTGTTATACTGTTCCCTTTACTGTGTTATACTGTTCCCTTTACAGAGTATTGTGTTATACTGTTCCCTTTACAGAGTATTGTGTTATACTGTTCCCTTTACAGAGTATTTTGTTATACTGTATTGTGTTATACTGTCCCCTTTACAGAGTATTGTGTTATACTGTTCCCTTTACAGAGTTTAGTGTTATACTGTTCCCTTTACAGAGTATTTTGTTATACTGTTCCCTTTACAGAGTTTTGTGTTATACTGTTCCCTTTACAGAGTTTAGTGTTATACTGTTCCCTTTACAGAGTATTGTGTTATACTGTTCCCTTTACAGAGTCTTGTGTTATACTGTTCCCTTTACAGAGTTTTGTGTTCTACTGTTCCCTTTACAGAGTTTTGTGTTATACTGTTCCCTTTACAGAGTATTTTGTTATACTGTTCCCTTTACAGAGTGTGTTATACTGTTCCCTTTACAGAGTATTTTGTTATACTGTCCCCTTTACAGAGTATTGTGTTATACTGTTCCCTTTACAGAGTATTTTGTTCCCTTTGTATTTTGTTATACTGTTCCCTTTACAGAGTCTTGTGTTATACTGTTCCCTTTACAGAGTCTTGTGTTATACTGTTCCCTTTACAGAGTATTGTGTTATACTGTTCCCTTTACAGAGTTTTGTGTTATACTGTTCCCTTTACAGAGTATTTTGTTATACTGTTCCCTTTACAGAGTATTGTGTTATACTGTTCCCTTTACAGAGTATTTTGTTATACTGTTCCCTTTACAGAGTCTTGTGTTATACTGTTCCCTTTACAGAGTCTTGTGTTATACTGTTCCCTTTACAGAGTATTTTGTTATACTGTTCCCTTTACAGAGTATTTTGTTATACTGTTCCCTTTACAGAGTATTTTGTTATACTGTCCCCTTTACAGAGTCTTGTGTTATACTGTTCCCTTTACAGAGTATTTTGTTATACTGTCCCCTTTACAGAGTATTGTGTTATACTGTTCCCTTTACAGAGTATTGTGTTATACTGTTCCCTTTACAGAGTATTGTGTTATACTGTTCCCTTTACAGAGTATTTTGTTATACTGTCCCCTTTACAGAGTCTTGTGTTATACTGTTCCCTTTACAGAGTATTGTGTTATACTGTTCCCTTTACAGAGTCTTGTGTTATACTGTTCCCTTTACAGAGTTTTGTGTTATACTGTTCCCTTTACAGAGTTTAGTGTTATACTGTTCCCTTTACAGAGTCTTGTGTTATACTGTTCCCTTTACAGAGTTTTGTGTTATACTGTTCCCTTTACAGAGTATTTTGTTATACTGTTCCCTTTACAGAGTCTTGTGTTATACTGTTCCCTTTACAGAGTATTGTGTTATACTGTTCCCTTTACAGAGTTTTGTGTTATACTGTTCCCTTTACAGAGTCTTGTGTTATACTGTTCCCTTTACAGAGTATTTTGTTATACTGTTCCCTTTACAGAGTATTTTGTTATACTGTTCCCTTTACAGAGTTTTGTGTTATACTGTTCCCTTTACAGAGTTTAGTGTTATACTGTTCCCTTTATCTATGACTCGTTGGCTGAAAAGTATTTTCTAATACCCTGATGGCATCGTTTCTTAAACAGTTTCTTATAGTGACCCCTAGTTCTATCTGTACTGCTGACCCCTAGTTCTTTCTGTATTGTTGACCCCTAGTTATATTTGTATTGTTGACCCCTAGTTCTATATGTATTGTTGACCCCTAGTTCTATTTGTATTGTTGACCCCTAGTTCTATTTGTATTGTTGACCCCTAGTTATATTTGTATTGTTGACCCCTAGTTCTATCTGTATTGTTGACCCCTAGTTCTATTTGTATTGTTGACCCCTAGTTCTATTTGTATTGTTGACCCCTAGTTCTATCTGTACTGCTGACCCCTAGTTCTATCTGTATTGTTGACCCCTAGTTATATTTGTATTGTTGACCCCTAGTAATATTTGTATTTTTGACCCCTAGTTATATTTGTATTGTTGACCCCTAGTTCTTTTTTATTGTTGACCCCTAGTTATATTTGTATTGTTGACCCCTAGTTATATTTGTATTGTTGACCCCTAGTTATATTTGTATTGTTGACCCCTAGTTCTATTTGTATTGTTGACCCCTAGTTATATTTGTATTGTTGACCCCTAGTTATATTTGTATTGTTGACCCCTAGTTATATTTGTATTGTTGACCCCTAGTTATATTTGTATTGTTGACCCCTAGTTCTTTTTTTATTGTTGACCCCTAGTTATATTTGTATTGTTGAACCCTAGTTCTATTTGTATTGTTTCCATTGGAATTAATTTCGTTTTTCTGAGCAGTTAAACATACTGACAATATCGAATACATTTATCAGTTCTCTTATCCTGTAGAACATTAGTGTTGGAAGGTGCAAACCTCCCAAACTTTCCGTAAAACCGGGGAGTAGTTTCGTCGTTTTAGCTCATTTTGCCCTTCTTTTCAATAACCATGAGGTGAAATTCATATTTGGTTTGTAGGTTGCTGAGTTGAAACCGACAAATTACGCGAAAAAATTACTCTGACCCATATTCATAGTTACATGGGTTAAGTTTGATAAAACTTTTAAACAGCTGCTCACTAACTAAAAAGCGTAGAAGCATGGAATTTGGCTATAAGGTGTTAAGGATGTAGCCCAACCAATCAGGAATTACCTTGACTTATATTCAAGGTCACAGGGCTCAGATTTGTTAAAACCTTAATACAACTTCTTTTGATAAATCAAAGGGCTTAGAAACATGATATTTGGCGAGTGAGTCTCTTGGATGAAACCTAGCAACGTTTGAGAAAAGAAGTGGTCTTCATCCTTATTCAAGGCCTCAGAGGTAGAATTTATTAGAACACGTAAAACACTTCTGGCTGGTAAAGTCCGGGAAGCAGATTATCAACGACCTAAGGACATTTACGACGGCTGAATGATAAGTTGTGAGCCTTATTTTGAAGACGTAAAGCAGAGATGTCCTTTTTGATTGAGCTCTACTATTCACTGACTATTTAAGGTTGTGTATTGGAGAGTAGTGTCATTTGGTCATTTTATGTCGAAGAGGTAGCATGTGAAATAGATAAGGCAAGTGGCCTTTGTAAAATGGACAAAATCGCTGGAAGAATGGGTGATTAAATATTTGCATAAGAAAAGTCTAGCACCAAAGGATACCCAAACTGATATGGTAGCAACACTAGAAAATGACGCCCCTTCATTTGTTTCAGAGAAGAGGTGGGTGACGGAATTTAATCGCGGCAGAGCCTTGGGGAATGACGCCCGTCCTAAAACGCCTGTCACTGTTGCAACCCCAGAAATGGTCAGTTAAGTCCATGGTATTGTTAATGCTGAAAGGCGACTTGCAGAGAGGTATATAGCCATTACAGTTGGGATTTCATTAGAAAAAGTACATTTCATTCTTACGGAAGATTTTGCGGTCAGAAAGATCTCAGCCCGTTGGGTACAAACCCTTCTGACAATTGATCAGAAGCACACCGAGCGGACTTTGTGGGCGTGCTTATCTGAACCTTTTAGAAGCAGACGAGTGTGCACATATTGTATAAGTAGCGATATTGAGGATGAGTATCATTTTGTTTTAAGATATAAGCATTATAAAGATATTAGAACACGTTTTATCAAAAGAAAACAAAAATTATTTGAAACCTAGCATGGGTAAATTTATCCAACTCTTGAAAAAAGAAAAATATTAAGGATTTGTTGAATATAGGAAAAGATATTAGTATCAGTAAGAAACAGACATAGATTGATAGATGGAATTATTTTCTACACTTCAATCGGGTATGTGTGGTCTGTGTGTGTTGTGAGCTTTGTATATCATGTGTTTGTAGTTGTATTTATACTTACACTGTACGTATATGCACTGTACTGATAAACCGTAAGGTTTATGGTAATAAATGAATTAAAAAAGATTTTCGGACTTCGGTTTGACAAAGATCGTGAATGAGAGCATGTTTACAACAGGTATACCGTTTTTATGTGAATTCCGACGTCTTGAGTATTTCTCAGGTAAGTGAATCTTTCCTATATCGAGATAAATAGATTATAAATTCTCTTCACTTTTTAGTGGAATTTGATTCTAGTAGTGATTTTTGTTGATTAACAGAAATAAGAATACAATACAATACAATACAAATACGATACGATACAATACAATACAATACAAATACAATACATTACAATAACAATACAATAACAATACAATACAATACAGGTATTGTTGTTCAGCATCTGAAGACTAAGAATGAAAAAGCAAATGTTTAACATTCGTGTTTGCAATCTCCCTCCCCCCCCTCTCTCTCTAATAAAAATGACTAGGTTATATATAACATACCGTATGCTGGATACATCTCCACGTGTAGAAATATTCCTCTAGCTGATGTCAGTCTGCTAGGTACAAACTCTAGTTTCCTGTATGGGTGTGGTGTATATCAGAAACAAACTGAAATTTTACAACACGTGCAATTATCACATCGAAAACATGTGAACTAGGTCATGTATTTTTGTGAACATATGGGATTAAGTGAGAGGTTCAGTCGTTATTTTCTAAACGACTGTTAATTCGTGGTTTTAATAATTGACATACATGTTGATATTCTTCCAATAATTACCGATGATTGTTAAACAATTGCTGGAGATAAACGTTATCATAACCTGATCTTTAGAATCTGTCACCATAGTGACACGCCATCCACACATATCGTCTCCTGGGATCTTTATGTGCTTCATATGTCACCTATGTATGTCCATAATCAGCTTATAGTTAGGACCTGCTTGTTCTGTTGTTTTTCGGTAGTTAGATGAGATTAATTGGGAGCATTCAGTCGTTATTTTCTAAACGACTGTTAATGCGTGGTTTTAATAATTGACATACATGTTGAGATTCGTCCAATAATTACCGATGATTGTTAAACAATTGCTGGAGATAAACGTTGTCATAACCTGATCTTTAGGATCTGTCACTTTAGTGACTCGCCATCCATACATATCGTCCCTGGGAACTTTATGTGCTGCATATATCACCAACGTGTATATGTATCCAGCTTACTGTTGCGACCTCTTTGTTGTGGAAGGTACGCCAATGATACTACATGCCTTCAACGTGATGTGTTAAATACATGTAGTTATATCGTATCCGGAATAATGAGTAGATTCAGCCATCTTGCTTCATACATGACACTCTTTCTTCCCTACTGCTAAGTATATATTTATATATAGAAGCGTCCATGAAACTACTCAAAGAGAAAATGAGAGCAAGACAAGAAGAGATAAGTTCCAGTCACTTATTTTAACACTAAGGATATACACTTCCGGTGTTTTTCACCAGAAGTAAGACAGAATTTAATATCAAATAAATTCCAACATAGCATCTTGGCCTTTGGTAGTTTTATACACTTTGTTATCTTAATTTGTACTAGTAAACTTAAAACGGGCGATTTTATAAAACACATGTGGACTACTTTTTTGACGGAGTAGTTGACGGCGTGATTCGGTTAATAGCGTCAAGAATTTTATATCTTTCTAGTTGCTAAGGTGCTTCGCTTGAGTATAATTCTGGAGTCTTGGGTAGATTTCAACTAAATTTTGCATGAATTATCACCACAAATCACACATTTCAAATACGTGAATTCTGACTTGGTGGACCATTGCCCCGGATTTTAGGACCCGGAAACAAATAATTCTGTTTGTTTCCTGATGTTAGAAAACTGTTTTTGGGTGAAATTTGCAAAAATAAAGCACAGTGACCCTCTCTTTTTTAAATCATGAAAAGTATCACTGAAAATTTCTCTATCCAAATATAAAGGTTTTTTAAGTATAATACTAGATGATAGTCAAATAAAGGATTTAGGACTTTTTGGAACATTTACATTTTTTTTATTGCTATGCAGTTTAAAGCTCGTTAAAGAAAATGAAAACTGCATTTTTCGAATTATTTTTTCTTAATATCCAACAATCATAAATGTATTCATATCTTGTAATGAAAGACAAAAAGTTATTTATAAAACGGTTGTAGCGAAAAGAACGGGGAACGTCTGTTAAAAAGAGGAAAATTTAAGAACAATTTATGAAAATTAATTATTTCCTGGTATACATATTCTGACGCCTGTACTGGAAAAGGTAGTGTAGCAATATATTGATTTTTTGCTTTAACTCTCCTTTCTAATATTAAACATTTCTCAAAATCTTCATCATAAAACAAGTTTAATATTTGCTTTTTTACTTCTCATAGGAATACTTCCTTAACACAGAAATGTACTAAAGGGGTTTAAACGCTGATTTTTTTTTTTTTTTTTTTACAATAAATCGTCATTATTCAACATAAACAATTCAGTTTCTATAGCTGTAATTGTAAACGGTAGCCTCATCATTGTGACCACATTCACTCGGACAACAGCCTCGCGCACGTCGGTCCTTTTTTTCGCGACCAAATATCTCCACTGTAGATATATGTCCTTTCTGACCAGGATCTCCGATACAGAGAGCTACATTAATCAACGCTGCTTTCTTACTGTCCTGTTTCTTTCGTACCGTATCGCCGTGACAAGCCAATTTATCATTTATTCAAGGAGCAATCTATGTTCATGTTTTATTCCAATGATACAATATATATAGGACATCAGATGTCTTATTTGGATGTATAATATATCTTAGATCCTTCTGCTTGGACTTCAAGGAATTTGATTCACCTGTTTGGACTTTGTTCTGTACTGATTCATGTACTTAGAATTAATTTCTCTACCTTTGTGTTTCAACTGTTCTCATTCATGGCCATTCTTTCGCAGCCCACGAGTCTACTCTAATAATGGCTCAATTTTTCAATAGATATCAACCATCCCTTCACTTTCTCTCCCTCCCAACATCCCTTTACCTTCTCTCCCTCCCAACATCCCTTTACCTTCTCTCCCTCCAACCATCCCTTCACTTTCTCTCCCTCCCAACATCCCTTCACTTTCTCTCCCTCCCAACATTCCTTTACCTTCTCTCCCTCCCAACATCCCTTCACTTTCTCTCCCTCCCAACATTCCTTTACCTTCTCTCCCTCCCAACATCCCTTCACTTTCTCTCCCTCCCAACATCCCTTTACCTTCTCTCCCTCCCAACATTCCTTTACCCTCTCTCCATCCCAACATCCATGTACCTTCTCTCCCTCCCAACATTCCTTTACCCTCTCTCCCTCCCAACATCCCTTCACTTTCTCTCCCTCCCAACATTCCTTTACCTTCTCTCCCTCCCAACATCCCTTCACTTTCTCTCCCTCCCAACATCCCTTTACCTTCTCTCCCTCCCAACATCCCTTTACCTTCTCTCCCTCCCAACATCCCTTCACTTTCTCTCCATCCCAACATTCCTTACCTTCTCTCCCTCCCAACATTCCTTACTTTCTCTCCCTCTCAACATTCCTTTACCTTCTCTCCCTCCCAACATTCCTTTACCCTCTCTCCCTCCCAACATCCCTTCACTTTCTCTCCCTCCCAACATTCCTTTACCTTCTCTCCCTCCCAACATCCCTTCACTTTCTCTCCCTCCCAACATCCCTTTACCTTCTCTCCCTCCCAACATCCCTTTACCTTCTCTCCCTCCCAACATTCCTTACCTTCTCTCCCTTCCAACATTCCTTTACCTTCTCTCCCTCCCAACATTCCTTACCTTCTCTCCCTCCCAACATTCCTTTACCTTCTCTCCCTCCCAACATTCCTTTACCTTCTCTCCCTCCCAACATCCCTTTACCCTCTCTCCCTCCCAACATCCCTGTACCTTCTCTCCCTCCCAACATCCATGTACCTTCTCTCCCTCCCAACATCCCTTTACCTTCTCTCCCTCCCAACATCCCTTTACCCTCTTTCCATCCCAACATCCCTTTACCTTCTCTCCCTCCCAACATTCCTTACCTTCTCTCCCTCCCAACATTCCTTTGCCTTCTCTCCCTCCCAACATCCCTTCACTTTCTCTCCCTCCCAACATCCCTTCACTTTCTCTCCTTCCCAACATTCCTTTACCCTCTCTCCCTCCCAACATCCCTTTACCCTCTCTCCCTCCCAACATCCTGTACCTTCTTTCCTTCCCAACATCCCTTTTCCCTCTCTCCATCCCAACATCCCTTCACTTTCTCTCCCTCCCAACATCCCTTTTCCCTCTCTCCATCCCAACATCCCTGTACCTTCTCTCCCTCCCAACATCCCTTTTCCCTCTCTCCCTCCCAACATCCCTTCACTTTCTCTCCCTCCCAACACTCCTTTACCTTCTCTCCCTCCCAACATCCCTTTACCTTCTCTCCCTCCCAACATCCCTTCACTTTCTCTCCCTCCCAACATTCCTTTACCTTCTCTCCCTCCCAACATCCCTTTACCTTCTCTCCCTCCCAACATCCCTTTACTTTCTCTCCATCCCAACATCCCTTTACTTTCTCTCCCTCCCAACATTCCTTTACCTTCTCTCCCTCCCAACATCCCTTCACTTTCTCTCCCTCCCAACATTCCTTTACCTTCTCTCCCTCCCAATATTCCTTTACCTTCTCTCCCTCCCAACATTCCTTACCTTCTCTCCCTCCCAACATCCCTTCACTTTCTCTCCCTCCCAACATCCCTTTACCTTCTCTCCCTCCCAACATTCCTTACCTTCTCTCCCTCCCAACATTCCTTACCCTCTCTCCCTCCCAACATCCTGTACCTTCTTTCCTTCCCAACATCCCTTTTCCCTCTCTCCATCCCAACATCCCTGTACCTTCTCTCCCTCCCAACATCCCTTTTCCCTCTTTCCATCCCAACATCCCTTTTCCCTCTCTCCATCCCAACATCCCTGTACCTTCTCTCCCTCCCGTATTAGTTTCGGGTCCCTTAAAACGTATCTCACCAGCTATGTCCACGAATTGAGATGTGTTCAAACTAAAGGATTTAATTCAGAAAAATGACCGACGAAACAAATATTTTTTTAAATACCTACAGATCCGACCCCAAATGCCCTTACCTTAAACAGAGACGTATGTATACGTCTCTGCCTTAAATGACCGACATGTGTATCGGACATGTGACTGCACTCCCATTTCTGATGACATCAATAAATTACAGGGATGCATGAGATAACTTACAGTGGCCCAGAAATACTCGTGTATAACTCAAAATCACCAATTGAACCGAATGATATCCTTGCGAAAAGAACATTGGGCGAAAATGGTGGACATCTCTATTTATGTATGTTACTTTTCTAAAGGATCAGATTCTAGTTTTTATTGTTCGCTTATTTCTCTCAAAAGAGGTATATTTCTTGCCTTCCTTTTCATACTACAAACTATTTAGAAGTTCCCCCTCTGTCGGTCTACAACTGGTTAGTTAACTAAAATCAGAAAGGAGTCATAATGACATTAAAAGTTATTTTGAAATCAACAATTTTTCAGTGCAAGATGTGCATGTTTGGATTTTCATAGCCAAAACTTGCAAGGGCTCTTTTATTCATGGTAAAATTTTATTCACTTGATAGACGACAGCAAAACACTGGCATCCAAGGATGGGTTGATGTGTTATTTTATTACTTCTGGAAGGAAGTTTGACATGTAGAAATGTGAAGTATTCGTAATGTACACAAATTTGCCAATGAAATATAACCCCATCTTTTATGAGGAATCGATTTAACTGTTATTCTTTCTGGAATTGGGAACCGTAATATGTTACAGCAACCAAAATCATCCGGGTGTTAGGTCACGCAGGTCAATAGTTCACGTGATACAGATCGACAAAATGGGCCTCTCCGAAATACATAACGTTCCAAAACCAATGTCGAGACATCATTTAATTACGCGAAACTCCACAGAAGCGCACCATGTTTAATGATCGCCAAATGTTAATGTTTAACATTAATTATAGCTTTATACTATATGATCATGCAAAATTTAAGTGTTTAGCAGATTAAACCACCAGTTCATTGACAATAGAAAACTGTTTTAAATTTCAAAGATGCATATTTTAGCGCTGAAACATATTTGGATATATCTTACCGAGTTTTGGGTATTTATGGGTGGTTTTAGGTAATTTAGGAAAGGATTTGGTAGTTTTTAATTAGTTTGGATATGTTTGTGTGGTTTGGCGTAGTTTGTGTATTTCATCGTACTCGGTCTCTTCTCCACCATCGACTACATATACCTCAGCGTAATTCATGGTCGATCCCAAGAAAGTATGGCGGAAAAACGAAACCACCAGGCACATCCATCGGGCACATGGAACTTCATATCACCACGGACTTATATACACATGTGTATATAAGTCCGTGATATCACACAAGAAATTATGACATATCAACCTGCATCACGTGAAAGCTTGTGTAAGCTGACATGTCAATAAAGATACATTCACTAAACTAGGACTACCGAAACGTAAAAGAGAATTGAAGACATGCGCCATTCGACTGTAGTAATCTAAGTCAGGCTTATACATATGCAATTAATAACTGACCAAAGAGACCTCAACTTCGTCGTTGCAGGCGCTTGTTTCCTACGGGAGTATAAAACATTTGTACGAGTCTGATTTCGTTTAAAAAATGGCGGCAAGAGAAACTTGTAAACAACATCACACAACGATATAAACATGAACTACGAGCTTCCGTCTAGCCTTATTACACCAACAAAGCGACCATAAATTCTTCGTATATGTTTACATAGATTCCATGTAATATTCAACATGTCAGAATTAATTACTGGTGGCTTATCCAGCTTTTATGGCGGAAAACAAAAACGGTAAAGGTGTTGTGTATATGCACACTGGTTGTATGCGGTTAAGTACATCATCAGAATTGCCGAGAGAATATCATTGACAAAAGTTAATTAAATCAATTACATATGCTAGTTAAAATTGAAAAGGGTTTGGCCACGATTTGGGTTTTGCTAAATTCTGTTACATCATAATATATATAGCACTAAGTTAAAGTCGGTGCATTAAAACAGTAAAGCATCAGCTCTTCTGGGCTATTAAAACAACATTAGCTGTTATGAGCTATTAAAACAACATCAGCTCTTATGAGTTATTAAAACAACATCAGCTCTTCTGGGCTATTAAAACAACATTAGCTCTTCTGAGCTATTAAAACAACACTAGCTCCTATGGGCTATTAAACTGATACATATAACATTAATTAAAAGACTTGCACAGTTTCACTAAATAAGACATACAATACAGTTTATAAAACTTTAAGACATACTGTTCTTGAATGTTTTACGTGCTCTGCCTTTATGTGTTGTATCTGCAGTGTGACAATAATGGAAATAAGTATGTCCTGTACCTAAGGCAGTGGAAGCTACTCATTACGCATGAGTGAGAAATTTAAAGATGTGACCGGTCACATGGTATATCACATCACAGTGTTGCTTTGACAAACAGTGTCTACTCTAAATGTAAAGAGTAGTGTGGGGGCAGACAATTCTCTTAGGATCCTGGTTTTGTTCTGTGTTGCCTTGATTTAAAGTGGAATATTTTATTGTAACTAAAAAACCTATATATTGTTATAGTGTATAAAAAACATGAGCAAATAAATTGCTTAAGCCAAATTTAAAAAAAAATCCCTATTTTGACTAGTTTCGCCTCTGTCACAGAGGCTTCTGGTAGGTCCTAAAGAAGCCTCTGCAACAGGGGTGAAACTAGCCGACAATAAAGTCAACACCCTCTTAATATCTGTAACGCGTGAGTATGTTGTGATTATTAGCCTCTTCGTATATACTTCTTAGTCTTTGTGTAATCACCCTGCAAACCTCGAGGGTATCCATACTCACAGCGAAGTACTAACCTAACACCCTCTTACTTATACCTGACGTTGGCTCCTTCCTTTTGAAGTTTCATGTTGCAAATTGATAATGTCATCAATTTTGATGTATATTTGACATTGATGATGGCGTGATGATCAGGTATACATACATGTGCTAAATGAACACAAATGAAGTAATAGAAGGACTTGCCATTTCATACATTTATACATAAAAACATTGGATTTCTTGTGATTGAGTGCCTATGTGTTGTAATCGGATATACAGTGTACAGGTATTTAGATGTATCAGTTGTACACTGTATCTTACAACATCAGCATGGATGTGAATATTGTATTCCATATGTTTTTATATTCTAATTTTCCTGCAAATTCTTAAACAACCTGTAGATAAATGACAACCAAAGTCTCTCACATTTTTTGCTAAGATCAGAACTATTTTTTCTATGATGACAGTTATATATACATGTAGAATTGAAGAAGCAGGATTCCAGATCGTTAACGCATTTTCTGTCTCTTAAGGTGGTAAAGCATATATTTTTCTACCAGAAAATTTTTATTTTAAATAGAAATTGGGAGGGAGAAAATTATTGCAACTATTAATAAAAAAAATTCCTAGTTTGGTGTTTTTTCCCCAAAGATTCACACTACATTTATAAAATACATATTTCAGACAATGGTCAAAGTTACAGGCTGCTGTAGATGAGCAAGTGAAGAAACAACGAATTGAGAAGATACCTGAAACATTTAAACAGACGTATGTTATTGCTGAAACTAACCTTGATATATTTATACACAAATTGTTCAGTTGCTATAATTGTTGTTAATTACACGTATAGTTTATTATTTTAATCCACATGTGGTAATTGGAGTTCTGATCAATTGAATAAGTTGATGATATCAAATGTCAAAAATTCATTAACAGATAATGTTCCATACTCCAACACACCAAACAAGATGAATGTACTTTCAAATCATACTTGTATATACAGAGAGTACACCAACACATTGCCATCAACGTCCTCTACTATCCTCTTTATACAGATAGTACACCAACACATTGCTATCAACGTCCTCTACTATCCTCTTTATACAGATAGTACACCAACACATTGCCATCAACGTCCTCTACTATCCTCTTTATACAGATAGTACACCAACACATTGCCATCAACGTCCTCTACTATCCTCTTTATACAGATAGTACACCAACACATTGCCATCAACGTCCTCTACTATCCTCTTTATACAGATAGTACACCAACACATTGCCATCAACGTCCTCTACTATCCTCTTTATACAGATAGTACACCAACACATTGCCATCAACGTCCTCTACTATCCTCTTTATACAGATAGTACACCAACACATTGCCATCAACGTCCTCTACTATCCTCTTTATACAGATAGTACACCAACACATTGCCATCAACGTCCTCTACTATCCTCTTTATACAGATAGTACACCAACACATTGCCATCAACGTCCTCTACTATCCTCTTTATACAGATAGTACACCAACACATTGCCATCAACGTCCTCTACTATCCTCTTTATACAGATAGTACACCAACACATTGCCATCAACGTCCTCTACTATCCTCTTTATACAGATAGTACACCAACACATTGCCATCAACGTCCTTTACTATTCTCTATATACAGATAGTACACCAACACATTGCTATCAACGTCCTCTACTATCCTCTTTATACAGAGAGTACACCAACACATTGCCATCAACGTCCTTTACTATTCTCTTTATACAGATAGTACACCAACACATTGCCATCAACGTCCTCTACTATTCTCTTTATACAGATAGTACACCAACACATTGCCATCAACGTCCTCTACTATCCTCTTTATACAGATAGTACACCAACACATTGCCATCAACGTCCTTTACTATTCTCTTTATACAGAGAATACACCAACACATTGCCATCAACGTCCTCTACTATCCTCTTTATACAGATAGTACACCAACACATTGCCATCAACGTCCTCTACTATCCTCTTTATACAGATAGTACACCAACACATTGCCATCAACGTCCTCTACTATCCTCTTTATACAGATAGTACACCAACACATTGCCATCAACGTCCTTTACTATTCTCTTTATACAGAGAGTACACCAACACATTGCCATCAACGTCCTCTACTATCCTCTTTATACAGATAGTACACCAACACATTGCCATCAACGTCCTTTACTATTCTCTTTATACAGATAGTACACCAACACATTGCCATCAACGTCCTCTACTATCCTCTTTATACAGAGATTGCCATCATCAACCTCTGCCACTTATTCTATCGATAACTAAAATGATGTTTCCCTTCTTGTCCTGTCAGTGCTCTAGTTCATTAAAATGTGCAGTTGGCAGCAGATCTATATTGACCAAGGCACGCTGTTTGTCCATTTTTCATAAAATTCTTTTCCTCATTTTTAGATGCCCATTGAAACTGTATTAAATTGTTTTTCAACTTTTAGGATATTGGGCCCGTCTGTGAAATGGAAGACATTCTTCAGACAACAAGATGCTTTTCTATATGCAAGGAGCCAAGCAGCTGTAGGTATTGATCACAATACTGATCCAATGAATTATTCAATACATGTATTTAACATCTTTGTTCAACATTTAAATTCGTGTGAGGCATTTTTTTCTGATAAACTTAAGATGGTTGTAAATTCCATCATATAAAAACTCCATGTACAAATTGTCTTCAACAATTTTCAGGATTTACATGTGTTTGCATTTGAAAGCGAGATCCTTGGGTCAGAAAGTGGACAGAGACAGTATTTGGTGACATCATACCCTGTGTTCTGGCATTACTACAGGTATTTACGACATGTTTACATAAGGAGTATGTAAATGCTGGTGATTCCAGCACCACAGAAACTTTTGATAAGATCACTTTTAAATATAGATACATATTGAGGCATAGCAAAAACTAGTAGCCTGGTTAAAAGTATTCATGTGGACAAGGAATTCACTAGTCCAGAAAATTTACATCAGAATTTTTCAAAACAAAGCATTAAGTTCTCATACATTGTGTATCATTATTCATTCAGCGCAGATGTGAATCATTTGTTGATATGTGGTGAACATTTTGCTAAAACTGTTACCAACAGTCTGTTTACTCATAAAGACACAATGAAACAATGTCCAAAGATAGAGCTTGTGTAAACACCAAACATCGTTAAGGGATATTTGATATAGCACATACATCACTGACATCTCTGAGAGGCAATCCTTCGTGGCAAATTGAGATATATTTTTAGAACAACGTTTGCAAAAGATAATTTTGGTAACTGGTTTTTTCAAGTTTAATGTCTCTTGGCAAGTGTTTTTGTTTTTCTTCTGTTGACAAGTAAAAAAACAAATGTAATATACATCCTGATAACTCGGAACTCTCCTACTCTACCACAGAAATAGGTATTATTATCACTGTCAATGAAACACTTGTTTTGTTTACGTTTGAAGGCACAAACTCACATGTGTATGTGCTGGAATTCTATAAATTTGAAAAGCAATGTCTTACAAAAGCAATGTCTTACAAAAGCAATGTCTTACTAAAGCAATGTCTTACAAAAGCAATGTCTTACAAAAGCAATGTCTTACAAAAGCAATGTGTAAGTAGTTAGGTAGACACTTTAATTTATTAGTATATATCTTGTGACGGACTATAGGCAAATTCCACTCATCAAGACAAGCAGATGAGTGCATGTACATGTATATATGTGATAATTGAATTGTTAAGTACATTCCTGATCAGGAAGTGTACAGGAAAATAAAATGGTTAGATACTTCTAGTCTCAGCTGGTCTACTTAGGCTGAATTATCAATCTAAGGTCTTTTGGTTTCTTCATAAAAGATATTGTCAACAATAAATTCTGTAGTTCCAGAATACATGGTCTTTGCAATTGCAACATCATTATCACCGTTACTGTGATAATGGAAGTCCGACTTTGTATTTTTGTATACTTTGTATACAATTTGAGCATTACATGAATGTATAAAATATACTGTAAAATCAGAGATTTTCGTGGGACTCAATTTGTGAGGTTTTTCTGAAAAATCTGCAATTTTGTGGACATTTGACTATGTGATTAATTATAAGGGAGAGCATAAAGACGCCTCTTTGTCTGTGTTTGTCCATTTGTCCATCATAATTTTGTTCGAAGCAAGATACAAAAACTATAAAAGGTATCAACATAAAACACATAAGTCAATAAATCTTAAGAAGGAAAAGTGCACCAGAACCATTACACTCTTTTGCATAATTTAGGAGTTATTGCCCTTTGTTATTTTTCATACATAAATTTTGTCCAGAGCATTACATTAAAACTATAAGAGGTATCAACACGAATCTTCATAGGTAGGTAGATCTCAATGAGTAGGAGGGCAGTGCATAAGAATTATAACTGTTATTGCCCTTTGTTATTATTCATACTAAAATTTTGTCCCATTCGGGCAGCATAACTCATCTCTGACGTCTCATGTTACAGTATGTGGACATATTAATTCATTTATTATGAGTACCCATGTATGAAGGAAAATAAAGCCTCCACAAAAATCAATGAATTCACAGTAAGTCACCATGATTTCTGTTTAGTTTACTTGTTCACCTTGTTACTGTCAAAGTGTTCTTTTCCATTTCAGGCAGCTGAAGAAAAGCAGTCGACATCACTATGAAGTCATACCAGAAAGTTAGTGATATATGTTCTTTTTATAGCACTATATACCGAGAACATATACTGGGGAATTTCTTAGGAATATCAATCACGCTACACTTGTCCACCTAAGAATTTCTAAAGTCCTAACTCCTTATCTGGTAAAAACAAGGACAAAAAAAGAAAACAATATTTGCAAGCTGTAGACATTTTGTCATTTCCTGCATCTTCCATATTTTTTCTGAAATTTCACAAAGATGTAAGAAACTTGCTTGGTCCATGGAAACATTTGAGATCTTCACTACTATATTGTATTTCCAAGATTATTAGCTGCTCCTGTTTACCATCGCGGTCAGGCGTGTGTCTTATATGTGGATGAAAACAAAATCAGCAGGGTAAAAAAAAAATGACAGTACCAAGTTTTTACAATTATCTGTCCATCACTTGTTTGTGACTGGAACAGATCATCTAGAACCGCCATTTGCAATCGTATACAGGATGATTTTTAAAATTGAAATAATAATAACATTCTCCTGGATTTAATTAATCATACCTTTTAATATGAATCACTGTAATATCTTCTGAACTTTCGTGGTTGCTATGGAAGCCATAGCAGATGTTTACAATAGCCTGTTGCATCCTGGGATCGATAGGTCATCAGGTTTAAGGTGAAGATCTAGAATGACTGCCATGCTTGTTTACGATAAGAATGACTTCGTGTAACTTACAAGAAATGATCACGTAATATAACTAAACCATACATAACGTCAGGCCCTATATCTGTGTGTAGACAATCCTTGAAGAATCCCAAGCCAAACGAGTTTGATAATTGCTCTTTTAGGCTTTTTATCAATGAAATGAAAGAATTATCGTGTATAATTCATTTGCAAACTTTTATAGAATGTTTCAATGACGATTTTGATAAATTGCCTTCCATTGCCTGATATATCAACGAACTTTGGTCAACATAACGGTTACCACGTTGTAAGAAAGGGTGCAGCTTATATTTCTGATGTGGCTAATATGTGGATAAAAATTTTTAAAAATCATTGAAATTTTGAATATTGAATGTCAATGCAACTTATAACCCAGAAAATACTGTACCTGGATATACTTGTATTTATATATATTTGATGGGTATGAAGAAATGAATTAACACCACCTGTTTACCACTGAGCCCCTCAAAAGTTAGGTGACATGTATATGATATTGCTGGACATAAAGAGTTGAAAACAGTCATGCTGCTTTAACTTTATTAGGTCACCTCAGACAAAGTCTCGTGGTGACCTATTACGATTGCCCCCGGCATTGTGCATCCGTAACAAATTTAACATTTCAACTTCTTCTCAAAAACCACTGATCCGATATCAATGACCTATAGTCATCTTGCTTCATCCGTCTGTCGTTTGCCATGTGTAAACTTTTGACATTTCAAACTTCAAAACCTCAAAGTTTCACCACTGGGATTGAGCTCAAACTTGCATGAAATGATCCTGAGATGGTCCTGACCAACTGTTGTTATTTTTCGGGGTATGTTTGAAATCCAAGATGGCTGCCATCTTGAAAAACATATTTCAAACTTCTTCTCAGTTCCACTGGTGCCAATTGGTGGGAATTTTAAGGAAAGGTAGCCAACAAAGTGTTGTTTTTTTCGACCTCGTCAAAACTTCAATATGGCAGTCAGAGAGGCCATTTTGTAACATGATTTCCATTGGAAACATTTTAAACTTGGTTAGAATTATGAGCTCAGGATGACGGCTTGATGGTATGCCCGTATTGAACCCCAGGGGCTGATAGGTGAGGCCAAAAAGGGTCAGATTGACTCATATTTCAAAAATCTTCTTCTCAGCACCCAGATATGGTAGAATCAAATGCTCTTTATGGATGGAAGCATCTTAAGGTGCTTTACTAAAATTGTGAATTTCATGGTCCAAGGTCTCTATTCCCCATGAGATGAGGTAAAGTTTACTACAGTTTATACGGAAAAACTAGATTTTTGAGCATGATTTGTTTGATTTCCATTGGAAATGTTTCAAACTTGGTTAGAATTATGAGTGAAGGATGACGGCTTGATGGTATGCCCATTTTGATCCTGACTGTCCCCCAGGGGCTGATGGGCAGGGCCAGAATGGGTCAAATTAACTTAAATTTCAAACATCTTCTTTTCAACAAACTGGTATGGCAGAATAAAATGCGCTTCATGGATAGAAGCATGTTTTAAGTGTTTTTATTAACAAAATGAATATGGGTTTTGTATTTCTTCATGCGGAAAAAGTTCATTTTATTGTATATTTGATGGAAAAATTGCATTTTTGAGCATAGTGTTTATTTCCCACTGGAAATACATTTGTAAGAATTATCAGTATAGGATGACAGTTTTGATGGTATGCAGGTATTGACACTGGCTTACGATATTCATTGTCACAATTTCTAATTCATGACACTTGAAAGCTGCCCTTTAACCACTGTAATCATTATTGCTGATCTCAGGTAACTGTAGGGATTATAGGTTGAAAGTGGTACTATGTTTCATTTTCCATGTATTAATATAGACACTGTAACTGATCTGTTTAACAGATTCTGTTTGTAAACTCTACTTTGACTTGGAGTTTCTGAAGGAATACAATCCCGGCAGAGATGGCAATCATATGGTAGAGGTCTTTATCAAGGTGAGATTATAGATTTTATTCAATATCGTGAATATCAGTGAGCTTATATTAGTGGATGGTGTCCCATGAAAGGCCTGTACTGATATTTGGTCTGTAGCACGGTAGGAAGAAGGGTTACCAGTTTTGGTCCAATGAGTAACCTTGACCACTTCAAGGTCACACACGTCAAATGTGTTAAGATATTCAAACAACTTCTTTTAGTAACTAAAATGTCCAGGATACTGATTTTTGGTTCATATCATGTCAAGATGAAAAGGTATCAAGTTTTCAAAGATGTTAAAATCTTCATACAAATACCCTTGAACTGCTTTTTAAAGATCACAAGGCTCAGATGTGTTAAATGCTCAAACAACTTCTCAAAAACCAAAGGTCCCCAGGTACTGATACTAGGTCTGTAGCATGCTTGCAAAAAGGGGTACCAATTTTTTCAAATGATTGACCTTGACCTACTGTCAATGTTGGAGGTCAAATATATTGAAATCTTCACACATCTTCTCACTGACAAAAATTGTGAGTGTATTGCTAGGATAGAGGCCTATCAATGATATTCAACAAGGAACCAGCAATATCATGGAGACACCTGCTTCAAAATGAATCTGATTGTTAATGAGTCTGTAAACCATGCGAGGAAATTCCTACCCCAGACAAAATGAGACTATAATCCTCGCTAAGAAATTCCTACCCCAGACAAAATGAGACTATAATCCTTGCTAAGGAAAGAAATTCCTACCCCAGACAAAATGTGGTTATTAAACCCTGCTTAGAAATTCCTACCCCAAACAAAGTTGTTATTTACTAGCATAAAAAGGCATAGGGAAGTACTCTGAAAATGTGTTGAAGGATTCTCTTGGAGTCAGAGAAGGGGCCACATTTCACTATTTTACTATTTTGATCATGGTTCAAACCATCATGGTTAATACAAAATGTTATTATAGGATATAATCAGGAGAAGTCCTGAAGAATATAGTCAAACAACATAAAAGGAAATGATTGTGATGGCAGAATGTTCCTTTAAACCATTATTGTCCCTTCTGGTAAATGTACTTTCAGTATGTCAATTACTGGTTACAACAGAAGTTTGGGATCAGCTGTGACAGGAGAAGAATTCTGGACCTAGAAGCCAGGTAATATTTAGATAAACCTGATTAGAGTTCCAGTTAATCTGTCTCTGCCTAACAATTCAAAGATTTTCCTCTCTGATACACATTATATATAACTTCCAACAGTGAAAGTATATGAGGATTTGAGATAACTACTTCCATGTTTGTAACTTTGAGTCCAGTATCCATGGCAACATTGACTTTGTAAAGATGTATAGGCAGAAAAGTGATTGTCTATTGAGTAATTGAATATTGGTTTATATAATTGATTGATTGATATTGAGTGATTCGTCTTTCAGCACTGATAGGAAATTCAGTCGACATCTGCTGTACCTGATTCCGGGAGTAGCCTTTAGAGATAACATACATGCAGGTACTTTCTTCAGTAATTTAATAGTGAGTTCTTGATGAACAAAAAAGATATGGAGCAAATTCTTCTCTGGTAGGAATGTCAAGATTCTGTCCCAATTAGGTCTGTAATATCCTAGGGTAAAGAGGTTAACAGCGGGTCTTGGTCTCCTGGGACAGGAGGGGCGGGTCTCAATAAGAAAAATTGATCAGATTCTTTAAATTCCTTCTTCTTATGTAGGAATGTGTGTATTTTGTCCCAATTTGGTCGGTCTGAAGCATTCTTGGATGGAGGAGAACAAGTTTTGAATACACTCTTGATCTTTACCTTGGGACTGGAGGTGCAGAGCCCAATATTGAAATAAAACAAATTCTTTAAAATCCTGTAGAAATGACAGGTATTTTAGTGCAGTCTGTTCTGCTGACTCCCTGGTAATGAAGAGATGGAGGTTTATAAGAGAAATAGATACAAACTTTTAGATTTCTTTTTCAGTTAGTTTGCATTTTAAAAAATCAGGCAAACATAGCCAGTTGAGAGATACAACCATATGTGCCTATTCTGATATTTATGGGTTGGAACTTGGTAATTTAGGAATGTCAAAGCAGAAATTCCAAGGTATGTAATTGTATAGAATTCTAGTTGCAGCCCGTTTTAGCTAAAATTTCTAAATGAGTTTTTAGGTATTTCAGTTCTAGATCGTTTTGATATACAACTGTGTGAAAAAGTTTTTGTATGAAATATTGTTAACAGAACAAAGTCATATTTGACAGGAAAAAAAACAATTTGTTAACCTGTGTTATATTTCAGGAAATTTTGTTCATTTTATGGCTGGAGAGTTGAGGAAACATTGTAATGGGAATGACAAGGAAAACCTGTTGTTGGAGAATGAGACATTTATGTATGGTCAAGGTCACAAAGAGGAGACCAAGGAACTGCCGGAGGGTGTTACAACTCCTAACTTGGAGGATATTGAGGCACTCAGGCTTGGTAAAGGTCACACACAGGTCAGGCATGGTAAAGGTCATACAGAGAAAAAGAGAGAATTGCCGGAGGGTGTTACAACTACAGAGCTGGAGTCCCTGATGGTGAAAAACAAGGAAGGAGAGGATGTGTGGTTCTGTGATCTAGGTAATTCTAAATTTCTCTCTATGTACAAGTCAGTTGAACATATTTAAGTTTCATAATGACTGCTATCTCTATAGTATATAACTGAATGGTAAATTTTAGGGGAATAAAACTGATCTACTTTGAAGGATTTAACATGTATTACTGTAAATCACCTATAATTTGCATAGGATTTATATGAGTGTTCAAATCCCTAGCGGTTATTTGTATGAAAATAAGTGGATTGCATCCATTTTGATTCAGTTATTGATACAGGTCCCTAATAGACCATCATTCACAAATTTTTAGTCATTTCTTGACCAGCTTTCAGGAAATCATATATTTGCAAATATGTGTGAAGAGGTGGGTATGCAAGTATTTGGAAAATCTAAGTGAATTACAGTATAAAACACTAATGTATTTCAGAACATTTTTGTCTGGTTGGTAATGTCAGTAGAATAGAAGTTCTTATAACACAACCAGTAGAAGATTTGAGCAAGTTGTTTTGATGACTACATGGTCACTCCATCTAACAAGTTTTATTCTATACACTGTAATGTGAATTTTTTAAGATCCAGTGTGCGTATATCAAAAGCTGAAGGAGTGATATGCTCCAAAATGATGAGAGAAGTCACCCATTCAAATCAGAGCGAATATCTGATTGATGATATGAATTTTCTCTGAAGTATTGATAATAATCCTTCATATAATTTTGGTATGGAGAGACAATAATTCTGTATATTGATTATGAAGGTGTGTATACAAAGAACAGGAACTTTCGACTCTACTTGTCTCGTAAGCTGGGAAAAGACAACCCACTGGTTCTATCATCTGATAATTTGTACAACCCAACACCTACCAGGCAGAGGTCGACAGAAGGTCCCAACCAGGGAACCAGGCAGAGGTCGACAGAAGGTCCCAACCAGGGAACCAGGCAGAGGTCGACAGAAAGTCCCAGCCAGAGTTCCAGGCAGAGGCAGACAGAAGGTCCCAGCCAGAATACCAGTTGCAGGCTGACAGAAGGTCCCAGCCAGAATACCAGCTGCAGGCTGACAGAAGGTCCCAACCAGAATACCAGCTGCAGGCTGACAGAAGGTCCCAACCAGAATACCAGCTGCAGGCTGACAGAAGGTCCCAACCAGAATACCAGCTGCAGGCTGACAGAGGATCAATCGGATAAAGACAAACATATATTCATGGACTCCCTTGTTGCAAATGTACAGTGAGTATTACATAATAATTGTAGGAAAAAGCATGAGTTGACAGCCATCTTACATACAGTGGTATGTTAGGTGAAGCTAAGGCAGCTATTGTACTGTAATCAGGGAAACTTTGTGCCTTTTGGGTGAAAATAAAAATTGGGCTAGAACTGGGTGTTGAAGCTGAACATTTTGGTGTTTATTGGGATGAATTTAATGCTGAGAGAAAATGAAAATTTTTCATTTGATCATTGGTTAACGTTTACCCTTGTACAAATTCAGTATATTGGCAGGTTAACAAGTAAAGAAAGTGATTTTAAGATGACTTTCACAGTAACATAATCAAATCTTACAGGACATTTTTCATCTATAACACTGAAATTTCAGAATTGTCACTCCTGTCATTCCTGGTTAATTGGATGTTCTCATATCCTTAAGCAAATTTCATTGTTGCTATTCATCAAGAAGAACTCTACAAATCTTTCAAATTACTTGTGTACTTATTGGTATATTTTCCTATTTTAAAACCAAAGTCAAGGCCCTCGACCCCTCTATTACAGAGTTATTGCCCTTTGTTTAAATTTTGTGTCAAGAGCATAATTTTGCTTGTATTTACAGTAGGTTATTGAAATTTAGTATATACTTTAATCATACCTAGACAATGTGCAGTGTACAAAATTCAGGGCCCACAACTCCTTAATTACAAAGTTATTGTCCTTTATTCAAATTTCATGTCGCGATATTAACGTTGAATTATTTGCATGAAACTAGGATAATGAAACTTGGTGTATACATTGGTCATACTAGGAGAATATGCATTTTACCAAAATCAGGGCCCTTGACCCCTCAATTACAGAGTTACTACCCTTCAATAATTTTTTTAAATGTCTGAAGTATAACTTGGCCTGCATTATACTAGGATAATGAAATGTGATGTTTACATTACATACTAAAAGAATGTGCTATATATAAAATTCAGGGCCTTTAACCCCTTAATTTAGAAAGTTTTCACCGTTGTTAAAAATTTTATGTCATGAGCTTTAGCTTTGCTTGTATCAAAAATTTGGTGTATACTTGGTCATACAAGGAGGATGTACCATGTATCCAATTCATGGTCTGAAACTCCTTAATAACAGAATATTGCCCTTTGTTAAAGTCTTTACGAGGACATTCATCAATTTCACTGATACTGTTGTTCCTAGCAAATGTTGTCTTGTGAGGAATTGAAAAAATACACACTATGGTATCTTGGTATGTCAGAAGAAAGGAATGTCATGTCTTTTCTTAAATTATCATTACCTTTATTTATGATGTATATATCTTGATAGTATGATAATCTCGATAAATTGTTGCATTTTCAATAAATGATTTGTATTAGAAAGTGGGTTTTGACACAACAGTCTGATTATAATTTTCACTGTTACTTCTTCAGATACCAGCCTGATACAAGAATTCTATCATTTGACAGTGAGCGGATTCAGTCTCGTTCATCAGTGGGTCATCAAAAAGATGACAGACAAGAGATTGCAGGTATTACAATTTAATAATACGATAGCAATGGCAAGGTCACAGGACAGGATAAAGGTGATCATAGTTCAGTCAGAACTCGTCCTTATAGCAAGGTCACAGGACAGGATAAAGGTGATCATAGTTCAGTCAATACTAGTCCTTATAGCAAGGTCACAGGATAAAGGAGGTTGTTGTTAGGTCAGTACTAAGTCTGATGGCAAGGTGACAGGATAAAGGAGGTTGTTGTTAGATCAGTACTAAGTCTGATGGCAAGGTCACAGGATAAAGGAGGTTGTTGTTAGGTCAGTACTAAGTCTGATGGCAAGGTCACAGGATAAAGGAGGTTGTTGTTAGATCAGTACTAAGTCTGATGGCAAGGTGACAGGATAAAGGAGGTTGTTGTTAGGTCAGTACTAAGTCTGATGGCAAGGTCACAGGATAAAGGAGGTTGTTGTTAGATCAGTACTAAGTCTGATGGCAAGGTCACAGGATAAAGGAGGTTGTTGTTAGGTCAGTACTAAGTCTGATGGCAAGGTCACAGGATAAATGAGATTGTTGTTCAGTTAGTACTAAGGTAGCAGGAAACGGTTAATTTCATTTTTTCATGAAATTATGGGTCATATTTGTGATATTCAGGTATGGCAGATTGGTTAGGAAAATATACCCTTACATGTATATATATTTATGAATGACATAACAATAACATTAATAGTAGAGAAATAAAAATTGTGTAAAATTTCCCCTGATTTGCCAACTTAAAAATGTTGAAAATGTGAAAATACTTCTAATTCCAACCTAACACTACAACTTTGTAGAATGAATTTATTTCTGAACACCTGTCTTAAGATTAACGTTATTGCCATGGTAACAAATTACATATATTTCACCAAATTCCAACCTGCAACACCTTGGCAACAAGACCTCGTGTAAACACTAAGGAAGTTTTACTTCATGTAAAGCTAGTTTTTGGTGTGTAGACACAGATTCGAGACTTCCAAAATAGTTATCTCCAACACAATGCAAAAATATTATTCTGAATTTTAGCAAGCATCTATTTTTTTCAATTTTGTTTAAACCTTTATAATGGGGTAGTCTAATGAGCAAAAATATCATCGATGGGCATGTCAGTACTAGCTGCTCCTAAAGTCTGGTTGGCAGGGTCACATAATAAATGAGACTGTTTTTAGGTCAGTACTGAGCCTGATGGCAGAGTCACGTGATAGAGGAGATTGTGGTTCATGGTTCGGTCAGAAATAAGCCTTAAAGCAGGGTCACATAATAAATGAGACTGTTTTTGGGTCAGTACTAAGTCTTATGGCAGGGTCACATAATAAACGACTGTTTTTAGGTCAGTACTAAGTCTGATGGCAGAGTCACATAATAAATGAGACTGTTTTTAGGTCAGTATAAATGAGACTGTTTTTAGGTCAGTACTAAGTCTGATGGCAGAGTCACATAATAAATGAGACTGTTTTTAGGTCAGTACTAAGTCTGATGGCAGAGTCACATAATAAATGACTGTTTTTAGGTCAGTACTAAGTCTGATGGCAGAGTCACATAATAAATGAGACTGTTTTTAGGTCAGTACTAAGTCTGATGGCAGAGTCACATAATAAATGAGACTGTTTTTAGGTCAGTACTAAGTCTGATGGCAGAGTCACATAATAAATGAGACTGTTTTTAGGTCAGTACTAAGTCTGATGGCAGAATCACATAATAAATGACTGTTTTTAGGTCAGTACTAAGTCTGATGGCAGAGTCACATAATAAATGAGACTGTTTTTAGGTCAGTACTAAGTCTGATGGCAGACATGATAAAGGTGATTGTGGTTTGATTAGTAAAAGCTTTGCTTTCACGATGTTTTTGAGGAGGATAAAAACAAAGGGAACAACTATACTTTCAGACACTTTGGATGGACATCATCATTCTCCGTATCCAGAACTGGATAAATACATCACATCCTATGTACAAAGAAATGGAACCAAAGGACAGATCCGTCACTGGACATACTTTTCAGAAGGGGAGATAATTGTGTATGAAATTTGCAGGAACCGATGGTGTGAAAATATTGGGCGTCCTCACAAGAGCAACAACATTATGTAGGTCACAGAGGTCATCATGATATTGTTTCCAAAACATGTAGGTCACAGAGGTCATCATGATATTGTCTCCAAAACATGTAGGTCACAGAGGTCATCATGATATTGTCTCCAAAACATGTAGGTCACAGAGGTCATCATGATATTGTCTCCAAAACATGTAGGTCACAGAGGTCATCATGATATTGTCTCCAAAACATGTAGGTCACAGAGGTCATCATGATATTGTCTCCAAAACATGTAGGTCACAGAGTGTCATCATGATATTGTCTCCAAAACATGTAGGTCACAGAGGTCATCATGATATTGTCTCCAAAACATGTAGGTGACAGAGGTCATCATGATATTGTCTCCAAAACATGTAGGTGACAGAGGTCATCATGATATTGTCTCCAAAACATGTAGGTGACAGAGGTCATCATGATATTGTCTCCAAAACATGTAGGTCACAGAGTGTCATCATGATATTGTCTCCAAAACATGTAGAACATCATAAACATTGTCTTGTAACATGTGTGATATTTTTTTAGTAAAAATTGTGTTGGTTACATGGCATTGTTTAATCATCCTTGATTTTAAAATTTATATTGAGACAAACTTTGAATGATCTATATGTGGGAGGTTTAAACGTTAAGAATCTGCCTATTTGGAAGAGTTATAATATTGAAATGTTTGCTTGTAAAAATATTGAAACTATACATTTGTTTGTAAAGTATCAAAACGGTATGTTTGTTTGAATAATTAAACTATAAAGAAGAGCACCAACTCCTGAAGTGAGGTCTTGTGATTACAACATAGATCTCTCGTTATAATCACACAACCTCTATCGTAACTCAACTACATGTACACCAGCCTTTAAGGCTGAAACATGTTGATAACCATTAGAAGACAGTAGAATACAGTATAGACATACCTTGTTTCAGGATTTCAGGTTTAAATTGTACTTCCAGGTTGATTGCTGACCTGAAGAAGGCAGTATACTACCAGAAATGTCATGATCCCGTCTGTAAGATGCAGAATTTCAAGTCGCCAGGTATGGTTTATCAGATTCATAAATTTTAAACTCTTTTTCAGACCAGTTTGTGTGTTTTCCTATGAAGCAAAAACTTAAAGTTTAGGGGAAGCATCTAGTTGGCACTTTGTCAATCATCGTTCCTTTTGTCAGTCGTGGATGATCTGGTACACTTCTTGTGACTTGATTGATGATAAGTCAGCAAAACTTCATGCAAAAAACTTGAATTATAAAAATGAAATTATAAATCTGTAGGTGACATTTGTGGCATGTGACATTGTCTGGTTTTACATTTATAAAGAATGTTTCCTATAGATAATTTCTATATGTTTGATTTTTGTCACCGAGGAAATAATGTCTTCCCTTAGGTTTGGTGTGCGCATCACACAGGACACAAAGGAAACTCTTTGGGCTGAAGCCAGGCATTCTGAAAGCATCCTTGGGAAAACCGTAAACCTGTTTTGTATAAACAGTGGGTCTCAGCCCCCTGGGGTCAGATAGAGAAAACCACAATTTCTTTAAAATCTGTCTTGCTCTTCCGGAATTCCAGGATGTTGCCCAAATTTGGTCTGCAGCATGCTTGGGTAAAGGAAAAATCAGTTTTGTATCAGCGATGGGTCTTGAGGCTAGTGGGGTGGGGCCCATTACAGAAAATCTATCAATTTCTTTAAAATCTATCTAGTTCTTCAGGAATCACAGGATCTAGTCTAGATTTGGCCTGAAGCATGCTTGGGTGACGGAAAATCAGTTTTGTGTAAATGGGTCTATGGGCCCTGGGATCAGATGGTTGGGGCTCAATACAGAAAACCTATCAATTTCTTTAAAATCTCTTTTATTCTTCAGGAATTGCAGGATATTGTCTAGATTTGATCTGGAGCATGGGGAGAGCTCAATTTTTTCAAAAAATCTATCTTGTTCATTTGTAGGAATGCCTGGATTCTGAACCATGCTTGGGAAAAAGGGATCAGTTGTGTATGAACAGTGGATTTTGATCCATTGGGCTAGGGGCAAATAGTAGACACAGCAAATTAATTAAAATGTTTATGATGTTGGAAGTGAAGAGAACTTATTTACAAACAGCTGCATCTAACCTCCTTTTGAGGAGAGTTAAACATATTATGGAGAAATAGATACAAGTGTTTTAAATACTTTTCTCTTATTAAAATCAGTATCAGCAAACTAAATCAGGTGAGTGATACAGGACCTATGGGTCTCTTGTTTAGTATTCAATCCTGTTTTTTATGAGGATTAATCTGTCTTTTTCAGACTACCCTTTGCCCAGAGAGGTGCTCCCTTCAAGCTTTTTTGATGAGTCAGAAATTGACCTTGAGGGAGAGGTGGATGATCAAGAATGTCTTAAAGCTGTTATTGATATGGAAAGTTCACTCACTGATGTTACTGAAGTCAATTCTTGGACTGGACAGAAATCTGAAATGATCAGTTATGTAAGTCCGTGTGTTAATAGATCTACAAATGATTCAAGTGTGGTGTATAAACCTGGTCCAGCCAGAATGACACACAATGCAATGGATCAAAATAAAAAGACAGGTGGAACTCCAGAAAGGTGTGTTGTGACTTTGAATGCAGACGATACTGATGACAGTGGAGTTTGTGGAATATCGACTACGACAAATAATACAATAGGGAGTCAGGATGACGAGGACTGCTGGGATGGGGACGATGACCTCCTCACAGCTATCAATGTATAACATTCACAGAACTAAATTTCTATCTAGTACAGAATTCTTTTTCAGCATGAAAGAACTCAATAATTACTCTTTAATATTTATCATAAACACTGCTTGCCTAGTCTGTTGTATTACAATTCATGTAAATTATAACTGAAACCATTATAAATAGTATACATGTATAGTATTCCTGGTCAGGCTTTCTAGTTTAGTCACTCTAGAAACACACTGTTGTTTGTTCATATCGCTGACATGTCTCCAAATCATTATTTGGGTTTCTTTTCTTCAGACTTCAGGTTAAACAATGATATGGAGATAAGAATAAGATATCAGGTTTAGCAGCCCTTTAGACACTTGTTAATGTCATTTATGATAACCAGCGATTTGTATGAAAAAGTTGACTGACGCCATTGTATGCCATAAGCGCACTTCGCCTTTATATATATATATACGGTATATATATATATATATATATATTGATGACCAAAAATATTGGCAGAAAAGGGCTAAAAATTACATTGATGCAAAATGACAATTTTGTATTGATTCCATGGAGTAAAGGGGTTAAGCCCTGTGATCCAGGTACCTTTCAGAGTACTTAACATGAATGATGATGTACTAGTTCCATTTCTTTCTTGACTGAAAAGTTTAGAAGAATAGAGGTGAAATTGTTTTAACAGCTGTACAGCTGTTTTAACTGAGTGAAAAATAAAATAACGATATTGAACTTGTGGAGATATTTTATTACTGTAACAGATCTAATTGATTGAAGTCATCAGATCTGCACTGAATTCCATTACTGAAAAGCTGTCATTTCACACTGATTATATTTCACTTGCCACGAGTTGTCTCCAGAGACTGTAAAAAAACACTTAACAATTTATGGACTTAACCAATATATCTCAGTTGGATACTGTTCATTTACTAGTAAATGCAATCTGGTGGTACTACACTGATGTAGGACTCTGTCCTGTACATGCAATCTGGTGGTACTACACTGATGTAGGACTCTGTCCTGTACAGTAAGTGGTACTGCACTGATGTAGGACGCTGTCCTGTACAGTAGGTGGTACTGCACTGATGTAGGACTCTGTCCTGTACAGTAGGTGGTACTGCACTGATGTAGGACACTCCTCATATTTTGTGTAATATTCTTGGATTTAACAGTAAAAACAAATAAGTATTAAGAAGACACATGGCGTCATCAAACTGAGATACACTTACTCAAAACCTACAATGCTTCAAAATCTGGCTATAAATCCAGCTGTTCTCAATCAAATTAATTGTGAAATAACGGCTTCATAATGGGACTTTAGGGTCTGAACTGCTTGGCGTTGAAACAAAAGACTCCCAAATAGAGGCTGACTGGTGTTTCCTAGGTCTATTTTATAGCAGTATATATATGTATGTATGATCACAGTCAAGTATTGCTAATAAAACACCATTACAATTCTCACAACTTCTCCACCAGATTCATAAGCTCAACACTTATAGTATATATAGTCTATTTTGTGATTTTACTCCCAAACTAATATCATCTCTATGATCTAGAGAGACAGAAGTGGTTTTGCTGATGAATTCCGGAAGAGAACTTGTAAGAACTCACTCTAGTCATGGACGGCATATAGGTTTCCATTGCATAGTCATATGCATGTCTGCACACACAACACAAAAATACTACAGGTTCAAACAATTATAATGTGGTAGCTTATCAACCTTAACTCTGTTTCAGAATAAATCACCATTTTACCCCCTCAAACAATTAAACCACGATGTGTTTGTTTATGTAATTATTTTTAAAGGAAAATACACTCAAAAGAGACTGCTTAGGGCAAGAAATGAGTGAAATCAATGACAGATCTATATTACTGAGACATTTAGGTCAAAATTTAATCATCAATTATGTTTCAATCTCCTATAGATCATTCAAAACAACCTCAAAACTGGCTACAAAAGTCAAAATTTCTATTTGTGTTAAAAACAATCCCTCTCTGGGAACATGTTCTTAAATAATATGTACGGTGTTTGAAAAAGCAACATTTTTTTATGAAATGAATTGATGAAATCAAGTAAAGTGAAACCTGTTCACTGTTAAAACTACAAATCATTAACAAGTAAATGTCCCACGTAAAACTCTCAGCTTATTCTCTGGTCTAGTGTCAACAAAGCACATTACTACTTGTGCCATTTCATTTTCAAAACTTCAAATGGTTATTGGTTTGAAAAAGTTAGATGTAATGCAAAGTATGTAATTAAATGTCATGAAACGCATCCACTTACTAATAAATACTCTATTATGTGTTTCAATAAGTCATACAACTGGTTTTAATAAAATTCAAACTTCAGTAGTGCAATAAACTTTCAATAAAAATATACTCGGTAAATCATTACTTTGAGCGAGTTTTAAATGACAAAAAAATGTGTATCTGGCGAGAAAAAATGGTATACATGTATATATGACACAAAAGTTGATCAGTATGAGAAAGCTAACCAAATATATAAAGCCACAGGGCAACACAAACAAGGGCGGGTATATAGAGTAGATTTTGATTAGCATCATATATTTAACATTGCATATTATTCTACTATTATGTGATAACATTTCATTGGCTGCTTCAGGCTTGATTCTAATTGGTTAATTCAACTTTCTGTATTTAAAATGGGTAACATAGGATGGTCCTAAAAAAAATCTGTATTGAAAACTTTTTGCTTTCAATACAGAAACAATTGGTTTGGGGAAAATTCAACATATTTATTCCTTGTGAATAATTGGTGATGACACTTGCTGTTTGTTATCCAGTGATAACCCCTATCACTATTGATTATCCAGTAAAGGCACCAATCACCATCAGTTATCCAGTGATAACCCCCATCATTATTGATTATCCAGTAAAGGCACCAATCACCATCAGTTATCCCGTGATAACTCCTATCAATATTGATTATCCAGTAAAGGCACCAATCACCATCAGTTATCCAGTGATAACCCCCATCATTATTGATTATCCAGTAAAGGCACCAATCACCATCAGTTATCCCGTGATAACCCCTATCACTATTGATTATCCAGTAAAGGCACCAATCACCATCAGTTATCCAGTGATAACCCCCATCATTATTGATTATCCAGTAAAGGCACCAATCACCATCAGTTATCCAGTGATAACCCCCATCATTATTGATTATCCAGTAAAGGCACCAATCACCACTAGTTAATCACAGCACATATTAGCCATCAGAAATCCACAAATTTTGTAACTGGACAAGCAGGACCCCATCTGATACTGACTGGTGTCTTACTGGACAATGCATGCTGATTTCCCCAAACTATTGTTTTTATGCGTAATGGCTTGATATTGAAATATCAGATTCTCCACTTGAAACTCCTGCTTGGATGATATCGCTGGACAGCCTTAAAAGGGAAATTTTGGTAAGTGACAGATTAGCCAATAAGAAGGAAGCCCCTTGACAGCCTGTGTGAGACGCGGTGGATCTGAGCCAATCTGTGTCAGCCACACCTTTATACACTGGAACCTCTCTTCTGTAGGTACAACACTCATGCCTGAAGGACACAAATACTGCTTTACAGTTCCGGCTTTAAAACTTAATATTTCACAATATTTCTGATCTACCATCAATTTCACAGATTACATCAAAAGTTTCTAAGGATTAAATTTTCCTTGTGTTTTAACTTCTGACATGGGCTTAAGATTTAACGCCCTCTGATTGATGCAACACAAATTGTGAACCAACTACATATCGTGTTTATAACAGACTAGTACCTGATCACTCACTTCTGCTTGACTATTGTGAATAATTCTTTTGGAATAAAAGAAAAGCCAACTAAACAAGTCCGAGAGCCTGTTAGTTTCCTGACAAGTCTCGACAGTCTATCATTGTCCCAATGAGTCTGAGAGCCTGTCCATATCCCGGCCTGTGTGTTGTACCTAACAGAAGTTTTATTCTGCCCAGTGAAGCATGGAATACTACCAGTGGACCTTAGAACATCACAGTTTACACAATACAGTCAGTGGTATATAAATATGTACAGCAAAACAATCGGTAAAAATATCAAACTCAAACAGGATTTGGTAAAACAATGATACAGAAAAATTAGGATTGTGTACCTCCTTTTGTAACTAGTGAGTCAGAGAGACTCATGACTTTGTATAACACATTGGCACATCAGCATCATACTTCATAATTATACACCTGTCACTTTTCATAGGTGTCACACTCATCTAAACATTCCAATAGTTTCTTATCATTTAGTGTTTCTTTACTACAAAATCATTAATATTATATCAAACAATATTTCAGTTTTATTTTTAACCTTTTACCATATGCATTGTATTAATTTTCAAAAGAAAGAGAATTTTTTCATGTGTTATGACAGTTGAACCAGTATCAACAAAGCAAAGAAGACATAGTACAGAGTAGCAAACCATGATTGAGGCAAACAAAGGCAAATATATCACGGACGGATTGATGAGTTAAAACTTGTACAAAAATAATCAATATTGCAAAATAAAAACATAGAAATTAAAATAAAATCATACATTGAAAATAAAAATTTGTACATAAAAAGCAGTTTCTTTCATATTTTTTTGGGGTTATTTTTTGGAGAAGGAATAAAAAAATGGGTATCGTATAAAATGGTGATGGTATGAACATTTTAACTATGATTGTATTCAAAATATATTGAAACAGTTGACTATAAATTTGCAATGGATATAACTACAAATAACAAAAGGGATTATGAAAGAATGGGTTCATCACACTGAAACATACAAGACTAGAGACTTAAGGTCCACTGCTCTGGTAGCTCCAAGATTTTTGTCAAGATAACAAACAATATATATATTCTACAGACATCAGCTCAATAACAAAATGTGTTGCCAGCAACAACGGGCTTCCACACACAACCTATCTCATTAATCAAAACAAACAATGTCCTGTGATCCTGCCTGTCAGATCTAATACTTCAGACTTTGATAATGAACAGGATATATCAAAATTAATATCCTGCTTTCAATTATCAATATTTATTAACTTCAAATTAAATTTACTCCTAATTAGAAGAAATCTTTGGCTCCCTCTCTCAAATCTCCTTTTCATTCCGAAGAATTTCCACCTGGATTATTGTGTTGGCCAGGTCTGACCATACAAGCTGTCTTTTGCTGGTTCTTACTTGTGACAAAAGGACTTTATCTTTGCTGGGAAAATTACACATTAATCACAGCACTAAGGCAGGAAAAATTCACCCAGCCTTTTAGGTCAGGTTTAAACTAATTACATTGCTTTTTACAACCAGCAAATGTTGAAACTTCCATTATTATTTTACCTGTTATGTTACCTAATAAATGTATTTACTTCTGGGAGTAGTCATCATTTACTATCTTACACTCTGGCCACCCGTGTAGAGCCTCTCCCAATCTACACCCTCTCTAAAGCTACACCAGACCATTGACAAACTCACACGTCTGGTCACTAGTGTAGAGAGACTCTCCAAATCTACACCAGACCATTGACAAACTCACACGTCTGGTCACCAGTGTAGAGAGACTCTCCAAATCTACACCAGACCATTGACAAACTCACACGTATGGTCACTAGTGTAGAGAGACTCTCCAAATCTACACCAGACCATTGACAAACTCACACGTCTGGTCACCAGTGTAGAGAGACTCTCCAAATCTACACCAGACCAATGACAAACTCGCACGTCTGGTCACCAGTGTAGAGAGACTCTCCAAATCTACACCAGACCATTGACAAACTCACACGTCTGGTCACCAGTGTAGAGAGACTCTCCAAATCTACACCAGACCATTGACAAACTCACACGTCTGGTCACTAGTGTAGAGAGACTCTCCAAATCTACACCAGACCATTGACAAACTCACACGTCTGGTCACCAGTGTAGAGAGACTCTCCAAATCTACACCAGACCAATGACAAACTCGCACGTCTGGTCACCAGTGTAGAGAGACTCTCCAAATCTACACCAGACCATTGACAAACAATCACACACTATGGCCATCAGTGTTGAAACAACTCGCTGTACTAACAGGACGGTATTTACATGGTACTCTAGATCATTGAAAGTCTTGAACATCCTAACACCTTAAGGTCTTTATTTTTAGGCTGAAGAGTTTTTCCTTACGACACTGGAAACTTTATTACTTTTTCTGATAATTTAAACTTGTTCATTTTATCAGATTGTGTATCATCATTAATTCAAATTTACAACTAAATCACTAATAACCATAGATTGAGTACAGTACTGTTTTGGTGTATTTAAATCTGGAGGTTTGACTACATTGATGTTAATGACAACAAACACCTAGTCGTAGTTGCTCAAGCTTGGTTAACCAGTGGTTAGTGAAATTTTTCAAATAGAAATTAAACAAAATTGAGAACATTCTTGATCATCTCACAGTTGTAGATTTCTGATCATCTCACAGTTGTAGATTTCTGATCATCTCACAGTTGTAGATTTCTCATCATCTCACAGTTGTAGATTTCTGATCATCTCACAGTTGTAGATTTCTCATCATCTCACAGTTGTAGATTTCTGATCATCTCACAGTTGTAGATTTCTGATCATCTCACAGTTGTAGATTTCTGATCATCTCACAGTTGTAGATTTCTCATCATCTCACAGTTGTAGATTTCTCATCATCTCACAGTCGTAGATTTCTGATCATCTCACAGTTGTAGATTTCTGATCATCTCACAGTTGTAGATTTCTCATCATCTCACAGTTGTAGATTTCTGATCATCTCACAGTTGTAGATTTCTCATCATCTCACAGTTGTAGATTTCTGATCATCTCACAGTTGTAGATTTCTGATCATCTCACAGTTGTAGATTTCTGATCATCTCACAGTTGTAGATTTCTCATCATCTCACAGTTGTAGATTTCTCATCATCTCACAGTTGTAGATTTCTGATCATCTCACAGTTGTAGATTTCTGATCATCTCACAGTTGTAGATTTCTCATCATCTCACAGTTGTAGATTTCTGATCATCTCACAGTTGTAGATTTCTTTGAAACAGGTCTGATTGATATTTTCAATGTCTTTAAAAGTCCTCTTTTTTAGTGATAAATAAATTTTTCCCTAACCAATGGTTAACTCTTAACAAGCTTTGAACAACTGGGGCCAGGATGCTAAGCCGAAGGGCCCTTATCCATTTCATGTGTCAATGACAATGTTTCAGTACTAACAGAATTTCCTATTTAATGTAAAACTTTCAAACCTCGTTAGTTTAAATGCCTATAAAGTACATGTATACTGGTATTGCTCCCTTGTAGGATGCCTTGATGGAGTAAACACTGATACATGATCTCTAGACTTTCAATCATCCCAGTACGATACATCATTAACCTTACCCTGAGTAACTGACATAATTTGGGTAACATCCACAGGAGTACTAACCACTGACATATTTTAAATACATCTTATTTTAAAGTAACATTTGAAGATAGTCTTCCCTTTTTGAGTAATAACTAAAAGTCAGTAACTGTACAGATTTTGTCTTTGTGATCACCAGCGTGCACTCAGATTTGCAAGGTCTGAGCGTGAGTTTCGCTGGACAGGGCGTGTAGATGTAGTGTCTATGAAGGGACTACTGGTCGTTGTGGCCAGCTGTTGGTGGGATAGGCCTTCCTGAAAGCTAGCACTCAGCCCACGTGTGATCTGACGACCAGTGAGACCCTGGCCAAATCCCTCGGAGGAAAACACACCACTGCTAGAGAAGCCACCGGTGATCTGTCGAGGGCCACTTCCATCGAGGAAATGTGCACTCTTCCTGGTCAGGTGACCAGATCCATGTAGACTGGAAGTGGAACTGTGAAGTGTGCCACTGTGATGAAGGCCCCCTAGGGGACTGGTGCGGTGCAGTCCTATCCCATGGAGCCCTGCATCAGAGTTTCGGAGACTAGAGCTGGAACTGTGTAAGGCTATACCAGAGTGCAGACTATCACTATCAGAGAACTGCTTCCCTGTGATGGCTCGCTGTGGAAATACGGGTCCTTCATTTTCCGCGTAAGATGTACTGTTACGCTGACCAGTGATTGACCGTGACGCAAGTAGGGGGTGGTTGGTGTCCATGTGTTTACCAGGAAGGTTGGCATTGTGACGAGGAGCAAACCCAGGAGGGACTTTCTCTGGTGTATGGTTTGGAACCTTGTCCGTATTCAGTTCAGCACGACCTTTGTTCAAGTCTGGAAAATAAAAAATGACATGCATGTGATTGTGACAGAAGTCTCATTTTGTATTGATAATAATTGTAAAGGCACATGGTTACATAGGACCAAACATAACATGGACACAACCACGAAGTCTCTGAGTTTGGAAAAACATAATTTTTTAGCCTATCATAACATATTATGCCTACCTGTAATGGCTAGAAGCATCTTTCTGCGAGCGCCAAACGTGGAAATACCCAGTTCCCTCAGGTCTTGGTCTGTCAAGGTCAGGAACGTCGCAAGATCAATCTGAGATAACAGAATAAACAGAATGATATCTGATGTCTTCAATATATTAAATTTCTAAACTGATTGTCAGAAGGAAGAGATCTGTAATAATAAGCCACAAGAAAGTTTACCTCCTGCTGTTGGAATAAGTCCGTGTATTTCCCAAGTCCAAGTTTACTGAAGAGTTCTGCGATGTCAGTTTTGACTGCCCAGAGATTCTTGACTGATGGTAGACAGGCACTGTCCACATAATTACTGCTACTTAGTGATACTTCATCTGTAAGAATAACACGGGGTATTAATCCAACATTTTTCACCTTAGAAATGTTTTTTACTGAAAATTTTTCAGGAACAAATTCAATATTCACAAGTCAAAAAGGACATGATATTTTTGAAGTATTCAACAGATGCAAAAAGCTGGCTTTTTTCTTTCTTTCTTTTCTTATTTTATCAAAAAGGTGTTAAAACAAAATTAGAATGCAGTTATGACCTTACTTCCATTTTTTGTGGAGATTCGAGTGGCACTGATAGTCATATAGCCTGTTAGATTTGCACATTTACAAGTACTCCCCTGAAGTCCCCTGGGGCAGGATTGATAGGTTTGCTGGCCTGCTGTACTTACACTTTTTACGGGGACTTGGGTACTCCCCTGGGGCAGGATTGATAGGTTTGTTGGCCTGCTGTACTTACACTTTTTACGGGGACTTGGGTACTCCCCTGGGGCAGGATTGATAGGTTTGTTTGCCTGCTGTACTGAATCCCTCCAAGGATCTCTGTCAACCTCCTCCTCTTCACAACCCTCATTGGGAGACTGTATATATATTACACATTGTTACTTAAAAACAAGTACAGTTCATCAGAACATCAGTTTAATTTTGAAGACTTTCACGGGGGAATCAGTTTACATTAACATATAATAATTGAAACTTCCATGATATCATCAGATTTTTCACAACAGTCGAAGATAAACAGAATTCTGGTTACGATTTCTCTGCATTTTGAAACATTATATATTACCTCGTATGTGGTGGCCATGGTCGGCTCGGTGTACTGGTTATTTTCAAATCGCTTGCCAAACTTTTCTCTGATAGCAGACTCTGGCATGGACTTGGAGAAACCCATACCTGCCCAATAGTCAGTGGGAATTCTAGACTCTCCTTCTGGCTTTTTCTGCATCGCTACATAACAGAGGCAGATATTATATTGAACAATATACAATAACAAGCTGAAACAGTCTCTTAATATGTAGGGTAAAACAACATGTAAGCTTGGAAGTGGAAAAATGTCGAGGATCAAAAGATTACAATGAACATTTTACGATGATTTGCAACATGTATCATTAAAATATATCCTATGGTTCCTCATCATGACTCAAAGGTGCTCCAGATCAAAGATAGTTAAAAACCCCTTTGCTCCAGATCAAAGAAAGTTAAAATTCCCTTTGCTCCAGATCAAAGAAAGTAAAAAATCCCTTTGCTCCAGATCAAAGATAGTTAAAATTCCCTTTGCTCCAGATCAAAGAAAGTTAAAAATCCCTTTGCTCCAGATCAAAGATAGTTAAAATTCCCTTTGCTCCAGATCAAAGAAAGTAAAAAATCCCTTTGCTCCAGATCAAAGATAGTTAAAAACCCCTTTGCTCCAGATCAAAGAAAGTTAAAAATCCCTTTGCTCCAGATCAAAGATAGTTAAAATTCCCTTTGCTCCAGATCAAAGAAAGTTAAAAATCCCTTTGCTCCAGATCAAAGAAAGTTAAAAATCCCTTTGCTCCAGATCAAAGAAAGTAAAAAATCCCTTTGCTCCAGATCAAAGATAGTTAAAATTCCCTTTGCTCCAGATCAAAGAAAGTTAAAAATCCCTTTGCTCCAGATCAAAGATAGTTAAAATTCCCTTTGCTCCAGATCAAAGATAGTTAAAATTCCCTTTGCTCCAGATCAAAGATAGTTAAAATTCCCTTTGCTAGTACTCAAGAATCTGATTTAGTAAATATATAAATAGTCATTGGAACACAAAATAACATACCATCAGTGAGTAACTGTATTACCTCCCTTTGTTGCCTATATAACCCACCATTAGTAAGTAACTGTAATACCTCCCTTTGTTGCCCATATGTCCCACCATTAGTAAGTAACTGTATTACCTCCCTTTGTTGCCCATATGACCCACCATTAGTAAGTAACTGTAATACCTCCCTTTGTTGCCCATATGTCTCACCATTAGTAAGTAACTGTATTGCCTCCCTTTAAACTGTAGTTCAATAAAGAAGGATTATTGATCAAGCTTACACAGTCTCTGTACACTCTTACCAACATTCAATCAGAACTTACCAAACAATAACTGGTAAACTTTTGTAAACTTTTGTAAATCTTTATATCATGTACAAAAAAGAACCTATATAAAAACTATTGACAGAATTAAACTGTAACTAGGTTACCCCTGTGTAGTGATATTTCAGATGTTTTATACAAAGACTTGCCAACATTTCAGAATAAAATGTAGTAATTTTGAAATTCAAAAATAGTAGTTTAGGAACATCTGAAAAAGCAAAAAGTAATTACTGATAATTCTTATTATTCATATTTACTTCAAAAACAGTTTTTTGACAAAAGATAATTGACAGACAAAAAATGTAAAGTAAAGTTAAGAACAGCATGAAAATCAGAGTAATTACTATAACATGGTAGTAGGAGGCAGGTCTGTATGTACAGTGGTGATTTATCTATAACATAGTAGTAGGTGGCAGGTCTGTATGTACAGTGGTGATTTATCTATAACATAGTAGTAGGTGGCAGGTCTGTATGTACAGTGGTGATTTATCTATAACATGGTAGTAGGAGGCAGGTCTGTATGTACAGTGGTGATTTATCTATAACATAGTAGTAGGTGGCAGGTCTGTATGTACAGTGGTGATTTATCTATAACATGGTAGTAGGAGGCAGGTCTGTATGTACAGTGGTGATTTATCTATAACATAGTAGTAGGTGGCAGGTCTGTATGCAGAGTGGTGATTTATCTACAACATAGTAGTAGGAGGCAGGTCTGTATGTAGAGTGGTGATTTATCTATAACATAGTAGTAGGTGGCAGGTCTGTATGTACAGTGGTGATTTATCTATAACATGGTAGTAGGAGGCAGGTCTGTATGTACAGTGGTGATTTATCTATAACATAGTAGTAGGTGGCAGGTCTGTATGTACAGTGGTGATTTATCTATAACATGGTAGTAGGAGGCAGGTCTGTATGTACAGTGGTGATTTATCTATAACATAGTAGTAGGTGGCAGGTCTGTATGCAGAGTGGTGATTTATCTACAACATAGTAGTAGGAGGCAGGTCTGTATGTAGAGTGGTGATTTATCTATAACATAGTAGTAGGTGGCAGGTCTGTATGTACAGTGGTGATTTATCTATAACATAGTAGTAGGTGGCAGGTCTGTATGTACAGTGGTGATTTATCTACAACATAGTAGTAGGAGGCAGGTCTGTATGCAGAGTGGTGATTTATCTATAACATAGTAGTAGGAGGCAGGTCTGTATGTAGAGTGGTGATTTATCTACAACATAGTAGTAGGAGGCAGGTCTGTATGCAGAGTGGTGATTTATCTATAACATAGTAGTAGGTGGCAGGTCTGTATGTACAGTGGTGATTTATCTATAACATAGTAGTAGGTGGCAGGTCTGTATGTACAGTGGTGATTTATCTATTACATAGTAGTAGGAGGCAGGTCTGTATGCAGAGTGGTGATTTATCTATTACATAGTAGTAGGTGGCAGGTCTGTATGTACAGTGGTGATTTATCTATAATATAGCATGTGATACACATGTGTATGTATATATCTGTAGCTGGTTTCCTATAAAACTGGCCAGCTGATCTCTAATCTCTGAGGATACAGGTCAGTGTAGATGGACTACAAGGTAACCATTACACTAGAATCACCAATATATATCACCTTTGTTAGCCATCAGTTTCCTCTGTTCATAGTCCGTGTTCATATTCCATGTTGGGAACAGGTTTGCGTTGGAGTTCTTTCGCTCTATGCCAGGAGCTAGCTTATCTGACCCATCAGACTCTGCCCCTGACTCGGACGATCGCTCCCCATTCCTGTAAACCATGATAAAAGATATGTTAGGTTAGAGACATTCAGAGCTTAACGTTTGTGGGGCTATGAAGCAAGAACAAGTATTTTATATTAAGAAATTCATATTAGGAAGGGGTTTTTGAAGCACTTTATGATACATACTTACACTGCACAAAGAAAGAGTAATGAAACGAAGTCACATTCAGAGACAAAATCAGGATACACAGTCACATTCAGAGACAAAATCGGGATACACAGTCACATTCAGAGACAAAATCGGGATACACAGTCACATTCAGAGACAAAATCAGGATACACAGTCACATTCAGAGACAAAATCAGGATACACAGTCACATTCAGAGACAAAATCAGGATACACAGTCACATTCAGAGACAAAATCTGGATACAAAGTCACATTCAGAGACAAAATCAGGATACACAGTCACATTCAGAGACAAAATCAGGATACACAGTCACATTCAGAGACAAAATCAGGATACACAGTCACATTCAGAGACAAAATCTGGATACAAAGTCACATTCAGAGACAAAATCAGGATACACAGTCACATTCAGAGATAAAAGTCAGAATATACAGTTACATTCAGAGACAAAATCAGGATACACAGTCACATTCAGAGACAAAAGCAGGATACACAGTCACATTCAGAGACAAAAGTCAGGATACACAGTCACATTCAGAGATAAAAGTCAGGATACACAGTCACATTCAGAAATAAAAGTCAGGATACACAGTCACATTCAGAAATAAAAGTCAGGATACACAGTCACATTCAGAGATAAAAGTCAGGATACACAGTCACATTCAGAGAAAAACGTCAGGATACAGTCACATTCAGAGATCAATGTCAGGATACCTATAAAAGGATCAGGTAAATACTCACTGTAGGGGTGACAAGTTGTTGTCCAGTGTGGGTCGTCCCATCCCATTGTCCCTAAAGAGTGAGGAGTGGCCGCCCACAGTCTTACTAAGTCCTAGCAGGTCGAGGGTGTGACAGCTCCCTGATGGTGATGTTTCACGGGTGATCAAATTACCGAAGGCATTGGCTTTCTGTAGGCTGGCTAGATCAACTGTAACAATTTCATGAGAAATCACTGTAAAGTAGAGTACATCACTTTTATTGTCAATGGAGCAGGTTAATCAAGGAGACTAGAACTCCCTGACACATTATCATACACATCTATTTATTGATGACTTATAACAAAGTGGGTGTGATAACAAGTGGTCTCTAACACTTCATCAGGCAATGTCTAGAAAACTCCTTTGAAGTTTTGAAAGTGATAAAAAAATGACCTTCTACCCTTTAACTGAATGACCAGTAACCAACATGCTGTCTAACCTGGAGCAGATTTTTAATCTGTTGAAAGGTTCATATCTTCTTTACAAGCAATGGTGATACACAGTAAGGGACAGAAAGACAGAAGCTTCCCAGTAATATACAGTATAACTAGTAATGGTATTTGATGGTAGATACTAATCACATCAAGTTTCACATGGAAGCTGACAGGTTTCACAGTAAATGGATGGAAAATGAGCAGCAATCATGAAAATAAATTAAACATATCCAATCTATATTACAAGAGATGATAAACTCTTCTAGAAAGTAACACAAATTTGACATCGTTTTGAGAAAGCTGCCATACTGACCTGGAGAGGCACTTTGTCCCATACTGATTGGACTCTCACAAGGACTTCGGCTTGGACTGTTGTTATTACTGGCTGTGGTGCTTGTCACTGTAACAGACATAAAAAAATATATAACACAGTTCCTTACCAATAAATTGGAGTTACACACCACAAAACAAGTGGTTAATCTTTATGGTGACTGGTGTCAAACAAAAACAAGTTTTCACAGTTGTGGGTTAGAGCTAGTGGTCAGTTTGTTTATCTACTACTCAGCAAAATACTGCTGGGTGTTTACGGAATATCATAAGGTGCAGTACTAGTCTGTACACTTACCCAGGTCAGTAGTAGTGGTCACTAGTCTGTACACTTACCCAGGTCAGTAGTAGTGGTCACTAGTCTGTACACTTACCCAGGTCAGCAGTAGTGGTCACTAGTCTGTACACTTACCCAGGTCAGTAGTAGTGGTCACTAGTCTGTACACTTACCCAGGTCAGTAGTGGTCACTAGTCTGTACACTTACCCAGGTCAGTAGTAGTGGTCACTAGTCTGTACACTTACCCAGGTCAGTCGTAGGGGTCACTAGTCTGTACACATACCCAGGTCAGTAGTAGTGGTCACTAGTCTGTACACTTACCCAGGTCAGTAGTAGTGGTCACTAGTCTGTACACTTACCCAGGTCAGTCGTAGGGGTCACTAGTCTGTACACTTACCCAGGTCAGTAGTGGTCACTAGTCTGTACACTTACCCAGGTCAGTAGTAGTGGTCACTAGTCTGTACACTTACCCAGGTCAGTTGTAGGGGTCACTAGTCTGTACACTTACCAAGGTCAGTAGTAGTGGTCACTAGTCCGTACACATACCCAGGTCAGTAGTATGGATCACTAGTTTGTACACTTACCAGGTCAGTAGTAGTGGTCACCAGTCTGTACACTTACCCAGGTCAGCAGTAGTGGTCACTAGTCTGTACACTTACCCAGGTCAGTTGTAGGGGTCACTAGTCTGTACACTTACCAAGGTCAGTAGTAGTGGTCACTAGTCTGTACACTTACCCAGGTCAGTAGTGGTCACTAGTCTGTACACTTACCAGGTCAGTAGTAGTGGTCACCAGTCTGTACACTTACCCAGGTCAGCAGTAGTGGTCACTAGTCCGTACACATACCCAGGTCAGTAGTATGGATCACTAGTTTGTACACTTACCCAGGTCAGTAGTAGTGGTCACTAGTCTGTACACTTACCCAGGTCAGTAGTATGGGTCACTAGTCGGTACACTTACCCAGGTCAGTAGTAGTGGTCACTAGTCTGTACACTTAACCAGGTCAGTCATAGTGGTCACTAGTCTGTACACTTACACAGGTCAGTAGTGGTCACTAGTTTGTACACATACCCAGGTCAGTAGTATGGGTCACTAGTTTGTACACTTACCCAGGTCAGTAGTAGTGGTCACTAGTCTGTACACTTACCCAGGTCAGTAGTATGGGTCACTAGTCAGTACACTTACCCAGGTCAGTAGTAGGGGTCACTAGTCTGTACACTTACCCAGGACAGTAGTAGTGGTCTCTAGTCCGTACACATACCCAGGTCAGTAGTATGGGTCACTAGTTTGTACACTTAGTCAGGTCAATCGTAGGGGTCACTAGTCTGTACACTTACCCAGGTCAGTAGTAGCGGTCACTAGTCCGTACACATACCCAGGTCAGTAGTAGTGGTCACTAGTCTTTACACTTACACAGGTCAGTAGTGGTCACTAGTCTGTACACTTACCCAGGTCAATAGTAGTGGTCACTAGTCTGTACACTTACCCAGGTCAGTAGTAGGGGTCACTAGTCTGTACACTTACCCAGGTCAGTAGTAGTGGTCACTAGTCTGTACACTTACCCAGGTCAGTAGTAGTGGTCACTAGTCCGTACACATACCCAGGTCAGTAGTAGTGGTCACTAGTCTGTACACTTACCTAGGTCATCCATAGTGGCCACTAGTCTGTACACTTACCCAGGTCAGTAGTAGGGGTCACTAGTCTGTACACTTACCCAAGTCAGTAGTGGTCACTAGTCTGTACACTTACCCAGGTCAGCAGTAGTGGTCACTAGTCTGAAGACTGACCCTTGTCAGTTGAAGTGGTCAGTAGACTTACCGTGGTCAGTATCTGACCCTAGTCAGTTGAAGTGGTCAGTATCTGACCCTGGTCAGTTGAAGTGGTCAGTATACTTACCCTGGTCAGTGGATGTAGGCACATTGATGAAGGATCCATTCTGTGAAAGGTCCTTGTTATGAAGCTCACCACACTGGGTAATGAGATCAAGCTGGTTCTGGACGGAACATGTTGTGGACGAATTCAGGACTACCATTGGACCATAGATCCCTGTGTAGTATATAAAATGTAGATTTCAGAATAAGATTGACACAGAAGGAGATGCAAACAGAGATCAAGTACAGAAGGAGCAAACATTATGGACAGAGACTGGATACAGAGGAAATAGGAGATACAGAGACTGGGTACAGAGGAAATAGGAGATACAGAGACTGGGTACAGAAGAAATAGGAGATACAGAGACTGGGTACAAAAGAAATAGGAGATACAGAGACTGGGTACAAAAGAAATAGGAGATACGGAGATTGAGAAGTGAATGAGCAGGATTACAGACAGAGATTGAGCAGGATTACAGACAGAGATTGAGAAGAGAATGAGCAGGATTACAGACAGAGATTGAGAAGAGAATGAGCAGGATTACAGGCAGAGATTGAGAAGAGAATGAGCAGGATTACAGACAGAGATTGAGAAGAGAATGAGCAGGATTACAGAGATTGAGAAGAGAATGAGCAGGATTACAGAGATTGAGAAGAGAATGAGCAGGATTACAGACAGAGATTGAGAAGAGAATGAGCAGGATTACAGAGATTGAGAAGAGAATGAGCAGGATTACAGACAGAGATTGAGAAGAGAATGAGCAGGATTACTGACAGAGATTGAGAAGAGATTGAGCAGGATTACAGACAGAGATTGAGAAGAGAATGAGCAGGATTACAGATTGAGAAGAGAATGAGCAGGATTACAGGCAGAGATTGAGAAGAGAATGAGCAGGATTACAGAGATTAAGAAGAGAATGAGCAGGATTACAGAGATTGAGAAGAGAATGAGCAGGATTACAGACAGAGATTGAGAAGAGAATGAGCAGGATTACAGGCAGAGATTGAGAAGAGAATGAGCAGGATTACAGACAGAGAATGAGCAGGATTACAGACAGAGATTGAGAAGAGAATGAGCAGGATTACAGGCAGAGATTGAGAAGAGAATGAGCAGGATTACTGACAGAGATTGAGAAGAGATTGAGCAGGATTACAGACAGAGATTGAGAAGAGAATGAGCAGGATTACAGACAGAGATTGAGAAGAGAATGAGCAGGATTACTGACAGAGATTGAGAAGAGATTGAGCCTTGAGAATATTACAGTTGAGAAGAGAATGAGCAGGATTACAGACAGAGATTGAGAAGAGATTGAGCAGGATTACTGACAGAGATTGAGAAGAGAATGAGCAGGACTTACAAAAGTCACCTTGATATGTAGTAGGAGGTAAGGACAGGGAAACAATACAGAGGACATAGGGGTTACAGACAAACAGTATAGAAGGGACATGAATAATGAACAGAGATTGAGTTACTTCACATCAAACTTAGAAGTTCTGCATCAAAATGTCAAAAATGTCTGCACCTAAGCTAAATATATCATGTGAATAATCATGATATCAGACAGACCCCTATGTCTGCAAACTACATCCATGATTCAATAATACTAAACAGGTCTTATATAATAATATTTCCTATCTTATATCAATATTCATTGTAAATAGCCTTGTTACATGGATAAGATAACTCAAAAATGGAGACATAAAATATCAATAATTTATTATACGTGTTTCTAAATATCTTGTGTATTTATAAGTTATCAGAAGTACAAATAAGATACAAAGAGAAGTACTCAATCTTTGACAATGAAGTCAATCATTTGATCTATCAGAAATCTACTTAATGATAATAACAATATCACAGATTCCAGTCTGACTAATAAAGATAAAGACAAAGATGTTAAAAAATTAAAAAAAAGAAATAAAACAAGATAAAATAACATTTATATAGATAAGTATATCAGGATCATCTCAAAAAACAACCTCATTGCTGAATTTCTTTCCTTAACATTCCCATCAATTTTCAGCTCAGTTGTACCATCAATTTTCAGCTTAGATGTACCATTGGAACAGAAAAAGAAGTTTAAAAAGTGTTTTTCATGACCGCAGCCATGTTGGATTTCTCACTAATCCGAAAAATGACAACACTTGGTCAGGATCATTTCAAGCCAGTTTTATAAGAATCTTACTGGTGGAATTCGGCTGAAAATGTGAAAAGTTCATGCATAGCGTACAATGACAGATGAAATATGATGGCTATAACTAATAATGACTAAAGCAAAGCTAGCTTGGGCATTGATCATTTAGGCAAAATAGAGAACGTCAGGTAATATCAAGATATCTTCACTGATGCAGTGGAGACATATGACCTCGACTTACTTCAAGAAGATTTAACCTTGACTTACCTGGAGGAGGTGTTACCCAGTGATTTGGACTACTACAGGAGACATTCACATTCTGAGGACTTGGGACGGAATTGGGGCTTGAGTGTCCACCAGGGCTTCCATTGCGCATCAGCAGTGCATTCGTGGTGTTGACAGACAGCAGGTTTTGACTGAGAAAGCCTACAATCACAATACATTGATATCAGTGACCGGACATTTTGACTGAGAAAGCTAACTATCAGGTAACACTGACCACCCTGGTCACTGTTACACACATCTGACCCTCTGGTCACTGTTACGTTACACACATCTGACCCTCTGGTCACTGTTACACATCTGACCACCCTGGTCACTGTTACACACATCTGACCCTCTGGTCACTGTTACATACATCTGACCCTCTGGTCACTGTTACGTTACACACATCTGACCCTCTGGTCACTTTTACACATCTGACCACCCTGGTCACTGTTACACACATCTGACCCTCTGGTCACTGTTACACACATCTGACCCTCTGGTCACTGTTACACACATCTGACCCTCTGGTCACTGTTACATACATCTGACCCTCTGGTCACTGTTACACACATCTGACCCTCTGGTAACTGATCCACACACCACAGATACCCCTAACAACTGGTATATGTAACTTACCATACTGATAAATAGTACACAAGACTGACCATTCTGGTACCTAGAAGACAAAACTGACCATTCTGGTACCTAGAAGACAAAACTGACCATTCTGGTACCTAGAAGACAAAACTGACCATTCTGGTACCTACAGGACAAAACTGACTATTCTGGTACCTAGAAGACAAAACTGACCATTCTGGTACCTAGAAGACAAAACTGACCATTCTGGTACCTAGAAGACAAAACTGACCATCGTTTTAACTAATACAGACACGAGACAATCCTTGTAATTAGTGAAAAAGCCAGACCACTGCGGTAACTGGTACAGACAACTGACTCAGTAAGTACAATCAAGTGACCAAACTGATAGAAATCAGTAAGATTATCCAATAGTTTTTACTCCGTATTTCATCTGATTTTGTATTAAACCTCGTTTACATCTATTGACTTAAACAAATTTATCATCTGCAGTTTTTAAAACTAAATTAACACCTGCAATTTTACTATACATGAAATATTTTTAAAATGTGGTTTTAAATGACAGGACCTTTCTTTACTTCAGCCATTAATGCTGAAAGATTGAAATAAAAAGTAATACTGTGGAGAGTTTTTTAACCTGCTGCACTGTTATCTCTGACTTTTTCATGAAGAAGAAATGAAACTAAAAACAAATGTATCTACACTCAAACAGACATGAAAGTGATACACAGCCAACTAGACATTGCTAATTGACATAACATGTTTTTACTTCACAACAAAATTCCAAATCCATCCAGAATTTAATGACTTTTGAAGACTTCAATGGTGTAAGCAGTATTTAAACTGTGACTCAACACTGAGTCTTTTTAACTACAAAACCAGCACATATAATTAATCTTCATCTATAGCAAAGATTTCACCTGTTTCTGGCAATCTCAAGGACATTTCCTAATATATAATTTCACACATCTTATACCATGTAGCCAGTTGACTTATATCGTTAATACATGTAGGTATAATATAGACCAGTATATAGGTATGATATAGACAGGTATATAGGTATGATATAGACAGGTATATAGGTATAATATAGACAGGTATATAGGTATGATACAGGTATGATATAGATAGGTATATAGGTATGATACAGGTATGATATAGATAGGTATATAAGGATGATATAGACAGGTATATAGGTATGATATAGACAGGTATATAGGTATGATATAGACAGGTATATAGGTATGATATAGATAGATATATAAGGATGATATAGACATGTATATAGGTATGATATAGATAGGTATATAAGTATGATATAGACAAGTATATAGGTATGATATAGACAGGTATATAGGTATGATATAGACAGGTATATAGGTATGATATAGATAGGTATATAAGGATGATATAGACAGGTATATAGGTATGATACAGGTATGATATAGATAGGTATATAGGTATGATACAGGTATGATATAGATAGGTATATAAGGATGATATAAAGGGTATATAGGTATGATACAGGTATGATATAGACAGGTATATAGGTATGATACAGGTATTATGTAGACAGGTATTTAGGTATGATATAGACAGGTATATAGGTATGATATAGACAGGTATATAGGTATGATATAGATAGGTATATAAGGATGATATAGACAGATATACAGGTATGATATAGACAGGTATATAGGTATGATACAGGTATTATGTAGACAGGTATTTAGGTATGATATAGACAGGTATATAGGTATGATAAAGACAGATATATAGGTATGATATAGATAGGTATATAAGTATGATATAGACAGGTATATAGGTATGATATAGACTGGTATATAGGTATGATACAGACAGGTATATATGTATGATATAGACAGGTATATAGGTATGATATAGACAGGTATATAGGTATGATATAGATAGGTATATAAGGATGATATAGACAGGTATATAGGTATGATACAGGTATGATATAGATAGGTATATAGGTATGATATAGACAGGTATATAGGTATGATATAGATAGGTATATAAGGATGATATAGACAGGTATATAGGTATGATATAGACAGGTATATAGGTATGATATAGACAGGTATATAGGTATGATATAGATAGGTATATAAGGATGATATAGACAGGTATATAGGTATGATACAGGTATGATATAGATAGGTATAAGATATAGGTAAATGTGAGAACTAATCATTGATCTAACATCAATGACAACATCAACATACATCTGTCAAACACTCATCAAATTGACATAAGGTGCTTCCTTGGATGTTGTTTATCTGGATAACTGTCAGAACATATCATAGTCTATCTGTTATGTAACATCTCTCAGGTCAAATCTTATCATGCCAGCAAACAACCAACAAACATTTCTGGAGAATTTGATGATTTTCTGACAGAGATATGAGTTGTTACTGTAGAAGCTATAGAGGACTGTTTGATAGGCTTCCACCATGCTACATATCAGATCTGAATGTGGATTACATCACATACACAGACCCAGTGTTTATCTGTGGACAATGCCTCCTCACATTTATCCTCTCTGTGTAGGCGAGTCCTCTTCTGGACCTTCCCTCAGTTTTAAAGGTTAAGAATTTAGTGTTGATTTCAATGATTTTTGTTGTTAATGATTTTTCCATTCTGTAAATTCTGAGGCCTCCAAAGGTTTTCAGTTTGTCTGCCCTATCAATGCTAAAATAGCTCTGTAGCTAAACTCTTTGTCTATACACTGTCTTTGGTTTTAGATCGGCAGTATAGTCGGCAATATATGACCTTCACAGGAGAGTGATATAATGACATTTACTGTACACTGTCATTGTGACCTTCACAGGACAGTGATATAATGACATTTACTGTACACTGACATTGTGACCTTCACAGGACAGTGATATAATGACACTTACTGTACACTGACATTGTGACCTTCACAGGACAGTGATATAATGACACTTACTGTACACTGACATTGTGACCTTCACAGGACAGTGATATAATGACACTTACTGTACACTGACATTGTGACCTTCACAGGACAGTGATATAATGACACTTACTGTACACTGACATTGTGACCTTCACAGGACAGTGATATAATGACACTTACTGTACACTGACATTGTGCCATTTACTGTATGTTGACATTGCAACCTTCACTGGACAGCAACATTGTGACCTTTATTGAACAATGATACAGCGACCTTTATTGTACATTGACTTTTGACCTTTAGAGGACAGTGACATTGTGACCCTTAATAGACAGTAACATTAACTTTACTAGATAGTGGGACTGAGTTGACCTTTACTTGAAATAACAATGTGACCTTTACTGGAAATAACAATGTGACATTTACTAAAGAGGGGTTTATGGTGATCTTTACTGGAGAGTGATAGGGTGACCTTCACTGGAGAGTGATAGGGTGACCTTCACTGGAGAGTGATAGGGTGACCTTTACTGGAGAGTGATAGGGTGACATTTACTGGAGAGTGATAGGGTGACCTTTACTGGAGAGTGATAGGGTGACCTTTACTGGAGAGTGATAGGGTGACCTTTACTGGAGAGTGATAGGGTGACCTTTGCTGGAGAGTAGTTTGTGTTGACCTTTATTGGATTGTGGTTTGTGGTGACATACCTAGAGTAGACAGTCCGAGACCATTGTTCTGAAGGATTCCTGTGTCTGCATCTACAGCCTTAGTGATAGGGTAGGCTTTGTCATCCCTCTTCAGTCCTAGCATGGTCAGTCTGGCCAGGTACATATTGGGGGCATTCCTCTCTATACTCTTCACTATCACAGACTACAAGCGAAAAAAGATCAATTCAAATTGACAATGAAGTAACATCAAGTTCCTGTAATTATAACACCAAGTTCCTGTAATTATAACACCAAGTTCCTGTAATTATAACACCAAGTTCCTGTAATTATAACACCAAGTTCCTGTAATTTAACACCAAGTTCCTGTAATTATAACACCAAGTTCCTGTAATTATAACATCACATTTCTGTAATTAAATACCAAGTTCCTGTAATTATAACACCAAGTTCCTGTAATTATAACATTCAAGTTTCTGTAATTATAACATCAAGTACCTGTAATTATAACATCAAGTACCCATAGTAATAACATCAACTACCTGTAATTATAACATCAACTACCTGTAATTATAACATCAACTACCTGTAATTATAACATCAAGTACCTGTAATCATAACATCAAGTACCCATAGTAATAACATCAAGTACCCATAGTAATAACATCAACTACCTGTAATTATAACATCAAGTACCTGTAATTATAACATCAAGTACCTGTAATTATAACATCAACTACCTGTAATTATAACATCAAGTACCTATAATTATAACATCAAGTACCCATAGTAATAACATCAACTACCTGTAATTATAACATCAACTACCTGTAATTATAACAATAACATCAACTACCTGTAATTATAACATCAACTACCTGTAATTATAACATCAAGTACCCATAGTAATAACATCAACTACCTGTAATTATAACATCAACTACCTGTAATTAAAACATCAACTACCTGTAATTAAAGCATCAAGTAACCATAGTAATAACATCAACTACCTGTAATTATAACATCAACTACCTGTAATTATAACATCAAGTACCTATAATTATAATATCAAGTACCCATAGTAATAACATCAACTACCTGTAATTCAACTACCTGTAATTATAACATCAAGTACCTGTAATTATAACATCAAGTACCCATAGTAATAACATCAACTACCTGTAATTATAACATCAACTACCTGTAATTATAACATCAAGTACCCATAGTAATAACATCAACTACCTGTAATTTTAACATCAACTACCTGTAATTTTAACATCAACTACCTGTAATTATAACATCATGTTTCTGTAATTACAGGTACTTTGTGTTACAATTAGACACTTGGTGTTATAATTAAAGACACAGGAACTTTGTGTTACAATTAAACACTTGGTGTTATAATTACAGGAACTTTGTGTTACAATTAAACACTTGGTGTTATAATTACAGGTACTTTGTGTTACAATTAAACACTTGGTGTTATAATTACAGGAACTTTGTGTTACAATTAAACACTTGGTGTTATAATTACAGGAACTTTGTGTTACAATTAAACACTTGTGTTATAATTACAGGAACTTTGTGTTACAATTAAACACTTGGTAATTATAATTACAGGTACTTTGTGTTACAATTAAACACTTGGTGTTATAATTACAGGAACTTTGTGTTACAATTAAACACTTGGTGTTATAATTACAGGAACTTTGTGTTACAATTAAACACTTGGTGTTATAATTACAGGAACTTTGTGTTACAATTAAACACTTGGTGTTATAATTACAGGTACTTTGTGTTACAATTAAACACTTGGTGTTATAATTACAGGAACTTTGTGTTACAATTAAACACTTGGTGTTATAATTAAAGACACTTGGTGTTATAATTACAGATACTTTGTGTTATCCAATGTATTAAATGCCCAATATCCAACTACATATCAGTTTTCATTCTCAAAACATAATATCAGCATATTTCTCACTTTCTAGTCAATCTTTTATCAGTCAATTTCATCTACATATTTGTTCACGTTACAACACAAAGCTTATTATAATTAGCAGCTGTTGTAGGCCTGTCAATGTTGATGCCTGCTATTTATGTAACATGATATCATCACCTGTCTATGTTTTCCGAGGTCATCCTTAACAAACAACAGCACTGCTATTTTATCAGCAATGTTGATATTCTGGTTGTTTGATTTAGGTAAGAATAACCTAACTATCTCCATTGTTGTATATAATTATCAAGTTTAAAGTTGATTCTAGTTATAAGGATTTTCAAAGGATCGTGCGAGTCTGATTGGAGATTTGATGACCTACTTTGTGAAGCAGTTTGGAAATTGGATGACCTATTTTTGTACCGTAATTATTTGTAGATTGGATAACCTTCTTTTGTGATTAATTTGAGTTTGAATGACCTAGTTTGTGTAGCAGTTTGGAGATTGAATGACCTACTTTTGTGTGGTTGTAGGGAGATTGGATAACCTATTTTTTGTACCGTAATTATTTTTGAGACTAGATGACCTTCTTTGAGTGACTATTTGGAGATTGGATGACCTATTTTTTGTACCGTAATTATTTTTGAGACTAGATGACCTTCTTTGAGTGACTATTTGGAGATTGGATAACCTATTTTTTGTACTGTAATTATTTTTGAGACTAGATGACCTTCTTTGAGTGACTATTTGGAGATTGGATAACCTATTTTTTGTACTGTAATTATTTGTGGAGATTGGATGACCTTCTTTGTGTGACTATTTGGAGATTGAAGTTTTTGTGGTTGTTTTTGATTTGATGATCTACTGTGTTACATATCTTGAATGGCCATGTATAGTTGTTCAGTTTGAATAAGAATAACCTACCATTTGGGTTTGGATTGGAATGACCAGCTTTAATTTGTTGTTTAGGTTGGAATGGGCAGCTTTAATTTGTTGTTTAGGTTTTGGTTGGAATGGGCAGCTTTAATTTGTTGTTTGGGTTGGAATGGGCAGCTTTAATTGGTTGTTTGGATTGGAATGGCCAGCTTTAATTTGTTGTTTAGGTTGGAATGGGCAGCTTTAATTTGTTGTTTAGGTTGGAATGGCCAGCTTTAATTGGTTGTTTGGGTTTTGGTTGGAATGGGCAGCTTTAATTTGTTGTTTGGGTTGGAATGGGCAGCTTTAATTTGTTGTTTGGGTTGGAATGGGCAGCTTTAATTTGTTGTTTGGGTTGGAATGGGCAGCTTTAATTGGTTGTTTGGGTTGGAATGGGCAGCTTTAATTGGTTGTTTGGGTTGGAATGGGCAGCTTTAATTTGTTGTTTGGGTTGGAATGGGCAGCTTTAATTTGTTGTTTAGGTTGGAATGGGCAGCTTTAATTTGTTGTTTGGGTTGGAATGGGCAGCTTTAATTTGTTGTTTAGGTTGGAATGGGCAGCTTTAATTTGTTGTTTGGGTTGGAATGGGCAGCTTTAATTTGTTGTTTGGGTTTTAATTTGTTGTTTGGGTTGGAATGGGCAGCTTTAATTTGTTGTTTGGGTTGGAATGGGCAGCTTTAATTTGTTGTTTGGGTTGGAATGGGCAGCTTTAATTTGTTGTTTGGGTTTGGTTTGGAATGGGCAGCTTTAATTGGTTGTTTGGGTTGGAATGGGCAGCTTTAATTGGTTGTTTGGGTTGGAATGGGCAGCTTTAATTTGTTGTTTGGGTTGGAATGGGCAGCTTTAATTTGTTGTTTAGGTTGGAATGGGCAGCTTTAATTTGTTGTTTAGGTTGGAATGGCCAGCTTTAATTGGTTGTTTGGGTTTTGGTTGGAATGGGCAGCTTTAATTTGTTGTTTGGGTTGGAATGGGCAGCTTTAATTGGTTGTTTGGGTTGGAATGGGCAGCTTTAATTTGTTGTTTGGGTTGGAATGGGCAGCTTTAATTGGTTGTTTGGATTGGAATGGCCAGCTTTAATTTGTTGTTTAGGTTGGAATGGCCAGCTTTAATTTGTTGTTTGGGTTGGAATGGGCAGCTTTAATTGGTTGTTTGGGTTGGAATGGGCAGCTTTAATTGGTTGTTTGGGTTGGAATGGGCAGCTTTAATTGGTTGTTTGGGTTGGAATGGGCAGCTTTAATTGGTTGTTTGGGTTTTGGTTGGAATGGGCAGCTTTAATTTGTTGTTTGGGTTGGAATGGGCAGCTTTAATTGGTTGTTTGGGTTGGAATGGGCAGCTTTAATTGGTTGTTTGGGTTGGAATGGGCAGCTTTAATTTGTTGTTTGGGTTGGAATGGGCAGCTTTAATTTGTTGTTTGGGTTGGAATGGGCAGCTTTAATTGGTTGTTTGGGTTGGAATGGGCAGCTTTAATTGGTTGTTTGGGTTGGAATGGGCAGCTTTAATTGGTTGTTTGGGTTGGAATGGGCAGCTTTAATTTGTTGTTTGGGTTTGAATGGGCAGCTTTAATTTTGTTTGGGTTGGAATGGGTTTAATTGGGTTTGGTTTGGAATGGGCAGCTTTAATTTGTTGTTTGGGTTGGAATGGGCAGCTTTAATTTGTTGTTTGGGTTGGAATGGGCAGTTTAATTGGTTGTTTGGGTTGGAATGGGCAGCTTTAATTTATTGTTTGGGTTGGAATGGGCAGCTTTAATTTATTGTTTGGGTTGGAATGGGCAGCTTTAATTTGTTGTTTGGGTTGGAATGGGCAGCTTTAATTGGTTGTTTGGGTTGGAATGGGCAGCTTTAATTGGTTGTTTGGGTTGGAATGGGCAGCTTTAATTGGTTGTTTGGGTTGGAATGGGCAGTTTAATTGGTTGTTTGGGTTGGAATGGGCAGCTTTAATTTATTGTTTGGGTTGGAATGGGCAGCTTTAATTTGTTGTTTGGGTTGGAATGGGCAGCTTTAATTTGTTGTTTGGGTTGGAATGGGCAGCTTTAATTTGTTGTTTGGGTTGGAATGGCCAGCTTTAATGTGTTGTTTGGGTTTGAATGGATACCTTAGTTTCCCAGACTTACCTTGCTTGGTTGTTTAGGTTTGGGTTTGACACTGATGAATACATCAAGCTGTTCCATTAATTGTGTTATACGTGCTGGAAAAGACAAAATGTGAACATCAATGAGATGTGTTGATTAACATTCAGGACATTAAGCTTCATAACAATAATCCATTTTTACCATGTAAATTTCCAACTACAGGTTGCAGTTACCTACTTCTGGCTTATGACAAAGTGACATTAAGTATACTGGCTGAGGGCAGAAGCTTACAAATTCTCAGCAAACCATGCAAGACCTGAAGAAATATTACATGTATGTTAAAAAAATAACCAACCTTGATCCATGTCAATTTCATCTTTTACATCGAACATAAGTACCAAGGGGAGACAACCCTGTAAAGGAAGACCATGCATGTTATACTCTAAAATAACAACATTTTATCCATCAATATCATAAATGCTATAGACCCAGTTGTAAGACATGATGTGTAATGTTATACAGTAAAAACCAATGTAATGTGTGCAGATTTTTTTTTGAGAAAATAAATGTGTAAAGTGGGGTGTGTGCACATAATGTAGCTATAGGGTTTTCAAGGTTTTTTTATTTCATGGAAAAATCAAAGATTCTGTGATGCTGCCGTCATTGGTTGTCTGGGTTATCTGGTGCTCAAAACTGACACAAAAAGGATCTGACAATTCATGTATACACAACAATATTGATAAGATAATTACTGTGTACATAAATGCAACCTATCTGAGTCAATATCATGTAAATTATGGGTAAAGTGTCCAGTATATTATAGTATGTTATCATCACTCTCAGTCGATTGAAAGACAAACTTTAATGTTATCCTGACAGTGATGTTACATACCAGGAATGTTATGTGGAACAAATGGATGGAAATTCTACTGAATTTTAAACTAATTCCTGACAGAAACCTATGTTTATAACTTACAATGAGGTGTTGCCGTGCCAGGAATACACTTTCTATGTTCCCAGTGATATAAAAGGTGCCCTTTCTTTGGGGTGTTACTGTTGTAGGGTCAGGGAAGTGGATACTCGCCCCAGTTCTTGTCATAATCTGTTTAACATTCATACCACCTCGGCCAATGATGAATAAGTGATGCTGTGGGGCAATTTCCAGCTGCATACTGACCGGCAGTGGTGCCTACAACAAGAACAAAGAGAATTGTTAAACAATGAAACTAAACAATTCATGATAAAAATCGTCAAAAGTGTGAGAAATACGTCCCTAGTGTGGGTGGTTCCTGGCTGTTGGACAGACTGTCTGTCTGTGAGACAGACACACTGCATGTCAGATAGACAGTCTATCTGTGAGATAGACACACTGCATGTCAGATAGCCAGTCGGTCTGTGAGGCAAACACACTGCATGTCAGATAGACAGTCTGTCTGTGGGATAGACACACTGCATGTCAGATAGACAGTCTGTCTGTGAGATAGACACACTGCATGTCAGATAGACAGTCTGTCTGTGAGATAGACACACTGCATGTCAGGTAGACAGTCTGTCTTTGGGATAGACACACGGCATGTCAGATAGACAGTCTGTCTGTGAGATAGACACACTGCATGTCAGATAGACAGTCTGTCTGTGAGATAGACATACATACTGCCTATGACAGTGGCACACTGCCTGCAATAGAGACAAACTGCAAGGGTTATAAACACACTGCCTGTGAGGAAGACATTATGATATAGACACTCTGCCTTTGAGGTACACACTTCGTAATATTGATACACTTCATAGTGCCTGTGAGGTAGACACTGCCTGTGTTAAAGACACATTCCTTGTGAGGTAGACACTGCCTGTGTTAAAGACACATTCCCTGTAAGGTGCACACCTATATGTGCTAAAGACACATTCCCTGTGAGGTAGACACTGCCTGTGTTAAGGACACATTCCCTTTAAGGTGTATACCTATATGTGATAAAGACCCACTGCTTGTGAGGTAGACACTGCCTGTGTTAAGGACACATTCCCTGTAAGGTGCACACCTATATGTGATAAAGACCCACTGCCTGTGAGGTAGACACTGCCTGTGCTATAGACACATTCCCTGTGAGGTTTACATCCTTTTGTGAGATAGACACAATGACATTTAGACTCTATACTGTATACTTACAGATACATTGCTTGTTAGGTGTTCCATAAGGCTTGCTGTACCTTCCTTGACAGATTTGGCGTTACATACAGAGCCCCTCACAATCACCGTCGTTGCAAAGACACGAGGTCGCTGACGGAAGCTGATGACGACATTATACTGCTGCTGAAGTTGCTGAATTGTAGGTGACGAGGCGTCAGGAAGGGGCTGTGGGACTCCAGACACAGGTAACTCAAACATGAACACCAATGGTAACAGTTCCTGGCGACAGAATAAACACAGCAAATTAGAGAGGTCTACTCCATATATCAGAAATACAAACCTAACATTTATTCAGTATTACCTGTATCAGTCAGGTTCATGGTCAATCTAAACTCTCCCTGGTTTAAATGATTTTACAAATCTTGTAAGTAAACCTAAGATTTATTCAGGCTCATGGTCAATCTAAACTCTCCCTGGTTTAAATGATTTCACAAATCTTGTTCATCTGAACAAAAGCCATCTAACCTGTTAGGTGGAACTGTAACAGATTCACGGTATCTTGGACATAAGATTACATACCAGGACATACACTGATTCTCCTGGTTGACATCTGATACAAGGCCATAATCTTTATAACACTATCAAATCACAGTAACAAATTATTTACTCTGTCAAATTTGGAGGTGGTGGCTGTTTTGATTCTAAAATCTGCATTTCATGGGAACAACATGCATAGCTGAAGGTAGAGAATTTGAATGTTTGTACAGGGCCCGACACCTGTACATATCTACATGTCGGTGGAGAAGCCGTTCTCTGGACATGTGCTCCACATCATTGCCATCTTCCATGTAATGATATCCCCAGTTTTACTTTATGTCTCCTCTGTAACCGGTAGGTATGAATTTTGTTGTACTTGGTTATTCCAGAAATTGGCAACTTTTGTAACTGTTTTAACATACATGTTTCTAGCATACTTAATTTACAGAGGAAGCTCTCTGTTTTCCGTCAATGTCTATAGCATATTGTCTGTGCCAAGCTATCAATTTTTTTTACCACAAACAAATGTCTAACACAAAATCAATCTCTGTTACATCATAGAAAAACAATGTGAATCTGAAAGAGTCACGATATGGAAATCTCACATTGTCTAGATGGTCATAAACCATGTCAGAATATTCTAAAGTTTGAATTGAGAAAGACATTTTCATCCCTGTATTACATAAACTTTATTGGGCTTTTCAGTGATAACATGTTAACATTCAAAATCACTTGCAAAGTTTCATTTCTACTTAAAATTATCTCCCAATACCATATACTGGAAGGAAGTCAACTTCCACATCAGAGATATAGTGATTGGTAAAACAAGAGTGAGACTGGTACGGCTAGCCTGTCATACTACTAGAACTTACCCTAATTTGTGCCCGAGCAGATTCTGCTCTTGCTGGTTAACTTACCCTAATTTGTGCCCGAGCAGATTCTACTCCTGCTGGTTAACTTACCCTAATTTGTGCCCAAGCAGATTCTACTCCTGCTGGTTAACTTACCCTAATTTGTGCCCGAGCAGATTCTACTCCTGCTGGTTAACTTACCCTAATTTGTGCCCGAGCAGATTCTACTCCTGCTGGTTAACTTACCCTAATTTGTGCCCGAGCAGATTCTACTCCTGCTGGTTGTCCTGCTATAGATACCTGAAATGATCAGAAATCAACATTAATTACTGAATCAGATATCACTTTTAAGATCAGGGTTTATTCACTAAATCAGACTGTTCACTGAAAGGTCAAGGTCACTTACTATACCAGACTGTTTTTTGTAAGCTGAATGTTTATCTTACTGTGTACTTCAAGGTCAAGGTCAGTTACTGAACCAGAGAGAACTAAGGTTGAGGTTAGTCAAACTACCAGCAGTATGATCAATTAAAAATCACTTGTTGGGCAAGACTTTGTCTTTAAAGTCAAGGTCAGTTATTGTACCACCAGTATTGTAAGGTCAAGGTCAGTTACTGTACTAGCAGCACTATAAGGTCAAAGTCAATTATTGTATAACCAGTATTGTAAGGTCAAGGTCTTTTACTGTAAGGTCAAGGTCAGTTACTGTACTAGCAGCAATATAAGGTCAAAGTCAATTATTGTACCACCAGTATTGTAAGGTCAAGGTCAGTTACTGTACTAACAGCACTATAAGGTCAAAGTCATTATTGTACCACCAGTATTGTAAGGTCAAGGTCAGTTACTGCACTAGTAGCACTATAAGGTCAAAGTCAATTATTGTTTTATCAGTATTGTAAGGTCAGTGTCAGTTAATGTACCAGACTTTATGTTCAAGGCTAGTTATTGTACCGAAAGTACTGTTTATGGTCAAGGTCAAATTTACAGTTCAAGATTGATTACTGTATGGTTAAGGTCAAATATACAGTACCAGATTGAGTACTGTATGGCCAAGATATGTACCTTGTCTAAGTATACCTGTAATATGTACAGATATGTACCTTGTCTAAGTATACCTGTAATATGTACAGATATGTACTTTGTCTAGGTATACCTGTAATATGTACAGATATGTACCTTGTCTAAGTATACCTGTAATATGTACAGATATGTACCTTGTCTAAGTATACCTGTAATATGTACAGATATGTACCTTGTCTAAGTATACCTGTAATATGTACAGATATGTACCTTGTCTAAGTATACCTGTAATATGTACAGATATGTACCTTGTCTAAGTATACCTGTAATATGTACAGTTGTTTACCTGGCCTATGTGTTCCCAGGATAAATAGGTGCTTAATCATACCTGGTTACTTTTCTCCTGTACATTGTTGCCTCTGTTTGAATCTGGAAAATGTATGTGACATCCGGTCTCCTGCATGACACGTTTGATGTTATTACCTCCCTTGCCTATCACATGGGAGTGGTCTGTATGTGATACATCCATCTTCAATGTTACACGGTTACTCTGTAAAAATAGACCTTCAATGTTACTGGGTAGTGTTAAACTATTACACTGTAAAAATATATAACAGGGACAGCTCCACTGTCAGTCAGATACATGATAAATACTGTCTGACAAGGACACTGTCAGTCAGATACATGATAAATACTGTCTGACAAGGACACTGTCAGTCAGATACATGATAAATACTGTCTGACAAGGACACTGTCAGTCAGATACATGATAAATACTGTCAGACAAGGACACTGTCAGTCAGATACATGATAAATACTGTCTGACAAGGACACTGTCAGTCAGATACATGATAAATACTGTCTGACAAGGACACTGTCAGTCAGATACATGATAAATACTGTCAGACAAGGACACCTCCACTGTCAGTCAGATACATGATAAATACTGTCAGACACCTCCACTGTCAGTCAGATACATGATAAATACTGTCTGACAAAGACACTGTCAGTCAGATACATGATAAATACTGTCTGACAAGGGCACTTTCTAACATTATTCAACACTGTGGTCTTTTCAGGCATGGCCTGTTTTTTTCTCATCACTACATTGATGATATTTTAATCAAAAAGATAACTTCATATATTTCACTGACAAATAAACTGCTATAATCTGCATGGTAATTACACAAAATGGCACAATAATTTTAAATGTCTATCAAATACAGAACCATGAATTTTTTCAAACAAACATCTCTTTCTGAAATACAAGATAACTGGCTAGAAGTGTTGATTTAACAGCACAAATCTAAGATATATGGAATGACAAATGACAAATACTTTAATTTTTCCTTGTCAAATAAGGTGTCCTGTAGTCCGTATTAACAGCCAGACCAACATACCATTGCTGAGATGGTATAAGAACATAACTCAAATCCTGACACCACACACAATGGACAATGTCATACAATAAGCAGACACTTCATTTATTTCCATAACTCTATGATCCTAAAGATTAAAATTCAATCAAATTTTTGATGGGTGGTAAACACTTTCAGTTATACACAAAGGAAATTGAGTCATATTAATGAGGTATGTGTGGACGGGTATTGAATGAAATGTCTCCTCAAACTACACCAAACTCTACAAGTTTCCACAAGTTACTGTATACTTCTAGGTGCCCCTACCCCTTGGTTAGGTCCCTCTAACTCTGGGTACCTTATACCAATGCCCTTATCCTTCATGATTCACATCCCATATCCCCTTTCCCTCTATGTCATATTTTTGTCAGAACTGCCATCTTATTTCAATTACAATGATGGCTGAACCTGAGATAAAGTCAAGTGGCCAGAACCATTACACCAGTTAAGTGATCAACTCCCACACTTTAAAATACATTTCTCTTTCCTTTACATGTAAAGTATTTAAATTCAACTTTTCACCAAGATTTCTCCTATCAGATTTGTATGGACTGTCTTGTAATAGGTTGATAATAACATCAGAAAATACTGATTACGTTCTGATGTTTATGACACCAAGCCAGTTAAATTTTACATGATAACTTTCTATATACAAAGTACCTTAATGGAAACATCTGCTTGTAATGAAATTTAAATACAACTATTTACCAACAAAGTAGATTTATAATAACTCAACAAATCTCATTTTGAAGGGAGCTCTTATTTAGTTTAAACTAATAATTTGCATAACTTTATCCTTTAATTGGCAAAAATTTATATATAAGCAAATGATGTTAATAATTTAAATTAGACTTGGTTTGTTGTAGGTAATAAGGTTATTCTTAATATTGTGTTTACAGGTGCAAGTATGGCAAAATATACATAGATATATTAACACACAACAGATTAAAAAAAACACATAAAAATGGAGGCCAGAACTGCTTTTATTTCTCCCGAAGATTTATTAAGAGTTCATCATTCTTAAAAAACAGTGAAAATGCTGTGATCTAATTCATAGGTTGTTGTGACGAAATTTATAGAATGCTGTGATGTAATTTGTGACCAATTTAAAAGGATATTGCGGTCATACTTATAAGATGTTGTAACCTAATTCATAGGATGCTGTGAACTAATTTATAGGATGTTGTGACAAAATTTACAGAGTGTTGTGGCCTAATTTAAAGGCTGTCTTAACCTAATTCAAAGAATGTTGTAACCTAACTTATGGGAAGTTTAGACTGACTATATAAGCAGCTGTGACTGCAGACTTCAGTTCCATGTGTAATAACTTCATGGTGGTAGCAGCATTCATACACTGCTGTGACCTAGTTTATGTTGACCTTGAAGAACAGGACAAATTGAACTATTCTGTACTCACTTTTGTGTCTAAAATGGTCATGATGCTGTCCTTGGCAGCCTTCACATCATCCGGGTTTCCTATCACCTTTATGTGTGGATCTGAAAGTAAGATGGTGCCAGATAAAATAGGATTTCATAATAAAGGAAAACATAGATTTTTATGTGATATTCTCCTCCTTGCTATGTAAATGTATATCATATACATCTTGATATCATCAAGTCATCAAATCATAGCGACAAGGTCAAGACAATGACCTTTAAACTATAACAACAAGGTCATGAAAAAGACTTTAAAATTATAGCAATAAGGCCATTGAAAAAATCTTTAAAATCACAGCACTAAAATCATAGCAACAAGGTCTTTTATGGTCATGAAACCAAGTGTTTAACATGTCTCCCTCTATTAAATTCTCATACATCATAATAATACAAAGTTTGGTACTACATATATTCATTCTGATAGCAATTTCTGCAGGTCACATGTTCAGACAATGAATACTGTAGACATGATTAGTACATGTAGCACATCATGATCAAGAGAAAGTATATTTTATATGGAAGGCAAAGCATTTTCAGCTGTTGAAACTTTAAAGGGTTTAAGTTTGTGATTCCTCAACAACAACAATTTCTTTCAAACAAAGACATCAGTCACTCAGTTTGACTAATTCTGTAAGTATCAAGTTCAATGATATGGCATTCCTAGGCATCCCAGATACATGTCTTCTAGAGACCATGTGTCAGCCCTACACACATAATCTTAGACTTTCTACACTAATCATGGCCTGCCTATATAACCCTCCACCTCAACAACCTGCCAATCCCACAATACTCAATCTCTTATCCTGATCTACATTGCACTCTGTGTTTTTTAAATACCAATAAACTTAAAACTCACTTCATAACTTTTTAATCCAAAACCTATTATTTAGTGCCCTTTAAAAAACTTTCAAGTGGTTTTAGAAATGTGTTCTGATGTATCATATTTCTGTCAAAGAAATGTAATTATAGTTCCAAGGATGAATTACCCAATCAATGCCTAAATGATTATATTTCAATACACAGAACTCTACATAACCAACTGTATGTAAGTAATAATGTCATATCTCTAATTCGTAAATAGTTATAACAGGAAGGAGTTTTATCTAAAAATGCTTTTCAAAATAATTATCAGAGGACAAAACAACATGACTGGAAAGTGATGTTTCCTTCCCCAAAAAGCTAAGCTAACAGTCTGGTTCTTGTCCTTCTGTATTGTAACATGAGCGTTAATTCACTTTGAGAACACTTTACCTACATAACAGTCTGGAGACTGTTAGAGACAACAGACACAGCCCCACGTGGGAAGCTCTCCATTGCGGCTTCAGTTTACACCTGTGATAAACAGGTCTTCGTAATTGATTGTAGAACAATAGTGTCACTAAAGATTTCCAGGATTACGATGTCAAACCAAGTCTACTCAATCAATATCAATGAAATACCTACACACACAGCAGAGACTACTTTCACCAACGCGACATATTGGATTATACTTTGTATACGATAAATGTTGAATCATGTAGTTTTAACATTCAAGTACAAAGTGGAAAGGAGTACCCAAGAGCGTTTCTCACATCTAACAGTGTACCTGTTGGTTGGTAGTGTCTGTTGTTAGTGCTAGTGTCCCTCTTGGTTGGTAGTGTCTGTTGTTAGTGCTAGTGTCCCTGTTGGTTGGTACTGTCTGTTGTTAGTGTTAGTGTCCCTGTTGGTTGGTACTGTCTGTTGTTAGTGCTAGTGTCCCTGTTGGTTGGTACTGTCTGTTGTTAGTGCTAGTGTCCCTGTTGGTTGGTACTGTCTGTTGTTAGTGTTTGTGTCCCTGTTGGTTGGTATTGTCTGTTGTTAGTGCTAGTGTCCCTGTTGGTTGGTACTGTCTGTTGTTAGTGCTAGTGTCCCTGTTGGTTGGTACTGTCTGTTGTTAGTGTCCCTGTTGGTTGGTACTGTCTGTTGTTAGTGTCCCTGTTGGTTGGTACTGTCTGTTGTTAGTGCTAGTGTCCCTGTTGGTTGGTATTGTCTGTTGTTAGTGCTAGTGTCCCTGTTGGTTGGTACTGTCTGTTGTTAGTGCTAGTGTCCCTGTTGGTTGGTACTGTCTGTTGTTAGTGCTAGTGTCCCTGTTGGTTGGTACTGTCTGTTGTTAGTGCTAGCGTCCCTGTTGGTTGGTATTGTCTGTTGTTAGTGCTAGTGTCCCTGTTGGTTGGTACTGTCTGTTGTTAGTGTCCCTGTTGGTTGGTACTGTCTGTTGTTAGTGTCCCTGTTGGTTGGTACTGTCTGTTGTTAGTGTCCCTTTTGGTTGGTATTGTCTGTTGTTAGTGCTAGTGTCCCTGTTGGTTGGTACTGTCTGTAGTTAGTGTCCCTGTTGGTTGGTACTGTCTGTTGTTAGTGTCCCTGTTGGTTGGTACTGTCTGTTGGTAGTGTCCCTGTTGGTTGGTACTGTCTGTTGTTAGTGTCCCTGTTGGTTGGTACTGTCTGTTGTTAGTGTCCCTGTTGGTTGGTATTGTCTGTTGTTAGTGTTTGTGTCCCTGTTGGTTGGTACTGTCTGTTGTTAGTGCTTGTGTCCCTGTTGGTTGGTATTGTCTGTTGTTAGTGTCCCTGTTGGTTGGTACTGCCTGTTGTTAGTGTCCCTGTTGGTTGGTACTGTCTGTTGTTAGTGTCCCTGTTGGTTGGTACTGCCTGTTGTTAGTGTCCCTGTTGGTTGGTACTGCCTGTTGTTAGTGTCCCTGTTGGTTGGTACTGTCTGTTGTTAGTGTCCCTGTTGGTTGGTACTATCTGTTGTTAGTGTCCCTGTTGGTTGGTACTGTCTGTTGTTAGTGTCCCTGTTGGTTGGTACTATCTGTTGTTAGTGTCCCTGTTGGTTGGTACTGTCTGTTGTTAGTGTCCCTGTTGGTTGGTACTGTCTGTTGTTAGTGTCCCTGTTCGTTGGTACTGTCTGTTGTTAGTGTCCCTGTTCGTTGGTACTGTCAGCTGCTTTATTACCAAATCATGACAAGGTAATGTGTAAAATATGAAATCATAGCGTGGTTCCTAATTTGTTAACAGTAAGCAAACAAATGAATCAATATCGCAACAAATTTCAATAGATCAAAGAGGATTGTATAGTTGATGAAAAAAATTAATCTTTTCAATATGAAATGCTTTGGTTTCTATGAACAAAACTGAATCCCTGATACCACGTCAGCACTGTTGTTACCTGTACTCCACCACTATCAAGCTATGTCAATTTTAACCTGTACTTCAATAGTGTTAAGCTATGTAAACTTTTTGCCTATAACAGCTTTTACTTGTAACTAATTAAATAATTTAATTTAACTGATTAATTAACAAAATGTTCCGGTAAGCAAGAACCAGACTTTAAATAGTAAGGTGTATATCAAACACCATGCAAAAGATAAAATTGAGAATGGGAAACCGACCACAGTGTTGTGAGAATTCCAGATAAAAAAACAAAATGGAAAACCCTGCACTCCCTTCGAGATAAGCCCAGAGAGAATGTCTAGGCAGCATGAAATACTCCCTTCGAGATAAGCCCAGAGAGAATGTCTAGGCAGCATGAAATACTCCCTTCGAGATAAGCCCAGAGAGAATGTCTAGGCAGCATGAAATACTCCCTTCGAGATAAGCCCAGAGAGAATGTCTAGGCAGCATGAAATACTCCCTTAGAGATAAGCCCGGAGAGAATGTCTAGGCAGCATGAAATACTCCCTTCGAGATAAGCCCAGAGAGAATGTCTAGGCAGCATGAAATACTCCCTTCGAGATAAGCCCAGAGAGAATGTCTAGGCAGCATGAAATACTCCCTTCGAGATAAGCCCGGAGAGAATGTCTAGGCAGCATGAAATACTCCCTTCGAGATAAGCCCGGAGAGAATGTCTAGGCAGCATGAAATACTCCCTTAGAGATAAGCCCGGAGAGAATGTCTAGGCAGCATGAAATACTCCCTTCGAGATAAGCCCGGAGAGAATGTCTGGGCAGCATGAAATACTCCCTTCGAGATAAGCCCGGAGAGAATGTCTAGGCAGCATGAAATACTCCCTTCGAGATAAGCCCGGAGAGAATGTCTGGGCAGCATGAAATACTCCCTTAGAGATAAGCCCGGAGAGAATGTCTAGGCAGCATGAAATACTCCCTTCGAGATAAGCCCGGAGAGAATGTCTAGGCAGCATGAAATACTCCCTTAGAGATAAGCCCGGGGAGAATGTCTAGGCAGCATGAAATACTCCCTTTAGAGATAAGCCCGGAGAGAATGTCTAGGCAGCATGAAATACTCCCTTCGAGATAAGCCCGGAGAGAATGTCTAGGCAGCATGAAATACTCCCTTCGAGATAAGCCCGGAGAGAATGTCTAGGCAGCATGAAATACTCCCTTCGAGATAAGCCCGGAGAGAATGTCTAGGCAGCATGAAATACTCCCTTCGAGATAAGCCCGGAGAGAATGTCTAGGCAGCATGAAATACTCCCTTCGAGATAAGCCCGGAGAGAATGTCTAGGCAGCATGAAATACTCCCTTCGAGATAAGCCCGGAGAGAATGTCTAGGCAGCATGAAATACTCCCTTCGAGATAAGCCCGGAGACAATGTCTAGGCAGCATGAAATATAGAAGAATTGTACACTCAGGAGCTTATAAAAGTACATTAGAAAAGAATTGAAATCCTCACCTTCCTGTCAAACACTTTCGTGTATCACAGGAATGCAAAGTGTGCTACTACATACATACATCTGTAAAGAATATTCCCAGTTCTGATAGACCAACAACTCTTATATGTATGCACATATGTAGTAAACAAAATTGGCACTTAAGAATATACATGTTCATTCAAGACATATTTACAACATACATTATAGAACTGTATAAGTGTATCTTTGATAAACTTATTTTTTAACATCTGATGTAAATATTTCTGGTAAATGACACCCAAATATGTTTGAAATGTTAAGCACAGTTACATGTTGAAGAGTTCCCACATATAGAACTACCACAAATCTGCTATTTTTAATGTACAGGGAGCAGATTTTCAAATTCAAGTGACTGAGTGAGATTCCAAGCAATCCATCATTATCCCCCATATCCCAA